GTAGGTGCGATCCTGATGTTGATCTTAAGGATTGAGCACATCCGGCGAAATCCGCATCTGCAAAGAGTCCTAACGACAAATCTTCAATTCTGTCACCGACCCATCCTATCATTTTAAGGGACAATGTGGAATTAACATAACACATTAAGTGATGAAGACGGGCGTCATCATCCTTAGTCCACTTGGTCACATTGCGTGCCAATGCATTGATGGATCTTAAAAGGTCAAACCGCGCAATGCGGGCTGCATACAACACCTTCATAAGCACACTAGCTGCATGCGGAGCTAGATTTCCCCGATTCGGCATCTCACTGTCTTGGCCGGGACGTGAGTTGACGGTCTCGTTGAGAGCCGACATCTCCGGATCGAAAGAATGTGCACACCACGGACATTCGACTTTGCGCTTTCCATCGGAAGGAGCTCGGTATGGGCTGCATTTTGTTTCCTCTGGAAGGCTTGGAGTCGAAACCTTTTTCAATTTTGTGTCCTTACCAATTATGTCAAGATACTTTTCTACCGATAACTTTAACAATCCTTCCATGTTATAAGTTATGGTCTTGACTTTCTTTCCATTATGGAGTTGAGTCTCGCCTTGGGAAAGCACACATCCAAGATAAAGACCCAAATCAGTTTCGGGTTCGATGCGTAAAACCGTACGCAACATCTCCCAACCTTTGGCCAAATTTTCAGATGGTCCAGCTAGTTTGAGGTCATCCACATAGATCACCAATAAAAGCTTGAGCTCATCATGAAAATACATTGATGGCCATTCCTCTCCAATGGGCTTAAAACCAATTTCTTGGACCTTCTTATCACAATGTTGTTCCCACATCGTGCCTGAATCGGGATGTCCATATAGAGCTTTGTCAAGTCTTACGACAGGGCGTCGATACTTCCAGTATTGAATCTCGGGTGGCCAAGCGTCGGTAGGTAACTCCACCCAGCATAGAGGCCCCTTCAACTTCGCCTGGATGTAGGCTTGGATCGCATCTGCGAGCTTGACAGAATGCCCAGGAAGACATCCAAAGAAATCGGCCCACCGTGAGGCTTCGAAGGAAGCAGGGGAATTCCTTAAATCTTGAAAGAATGCTGCCTCCCAATGTTGGTTCTTCACTTGATTGCCCAGTAGAACACCTCGTCCTTTGAACTTTCGACCAGGATTGCTTTCAGGCAATTGGTAGTTCTTTTCAACGCATATGCCATGAACTCTAGCCATATGTACTTCCTTCTTGTTCTTCTTTGCTTCCGCAACTACATCATCGTATTCTCGGACCATGGAGAAATCAAACACTTCTTGATCTCGGAGTCCTTTCCATTCCTTAAGCATTGCTTCCTTTGCTTTAGGATTGGAATCAATCTCTGCCCTACCGACTGGTCTTGAGACCATGGCGTTGAAGAGCTTCCCCCCCAGACCTCCAGGAGGTACTTTGGTTCGATGAATGTTGTTGGGTGCGGAGGTACATGGCATAGTAGGGAATGCTATGAGATCGTCATCATCGTCAGTGGTTGAGTTCTTCATGTTCTTGACGTTAACACACTTGCCATTCTTGATCATGGTCGATTCACCCGGCGTTGCCGTGGAAGACTTCGAGATCATACCGGACAAAGTGTTCCAAACTTCACCACTCCACGATGCTTTCGGACCACGGCCCTTCTCGACCTCCGACCACTCGTCCCATTCGGTGAGATATTCCTCGTCGTCCGGGACGTCAGTAGAAGCATCGGAACATGGGCTCGCATCAGCATTCCTTCTAATCTTCCGACAATCAATGTAACGTTTCCCATGAATGTCATCGTCATCAACGATGTCGTACATGTCAAGATATGCACTCGTACATGTGAAAGGCAAAGTAACTTTGTTCTTCATCACCTCACCAACACCTGCATCGGATTTCTTCGACTTTGAGTGCGGATCGTCCTGCCCACCATCATCGTCTTTCTCGTCATCATCTTTGGATTTCGGCATGCCTTTGTCCTTCTTTGAATCTTTCTTCTCCTTCTTCAGTGATTTCTTCTTCACTTCCTCAATCTTTCTTTTGTTCTTTTCATCAGCCTCCTTCTTTTCCAACTTCTTCTTCTCGGCCTTGAGGATGACGTTTCGGTCAGATTGAGATAGCTTTCGCCATTCTTCTGGAGAGTAGGTACCCTTAGGTCTCAATGAGGTTTTGAAGAGTCTCCTACCATCTTCTCCAATCTTGTAAGGGTTTCCCTTGACATTCAATTTGACCTTCTCGCCGTCATCATTGAGGTATACCTTCCCGTCCCCGGCTTTGCCTGACCTCCAGTGATCTGGTTGTGCATCTATAAGTTCTTCTAAGGTCATCTCTTCCGGGTCCTTGTCGTCGAAGATACCCTCAGAGGCTTCGAGAGGTTTCTTTGAGGCTTTTCCACCACTTGGTCCAGGTCCACCATCGTCTCCGTCATCAAGCTCATCATCGTCTTCATCTTGTTCGTCTTCTTCATCGTCTCGAGGTCTCTCGGATGGTTCACCGTCAAGAAGTTCCTTTTCTTTCATTCCCTCCAAGGTCGTATTCACTCTCTCGTACTCTTGTTTACATGGGAATGTCAATGGAGTGACCATCTCTACTTTCTCTGTCAGGTGTGGCTTGAGAAGACGATGTTCTGGTTTGCTGGCATCATCACCAAGGTTCTGATGTACGAACTCACTCAATGGCCAGACTTTGTATTGTCTCGACCAGTGCATCCCTGGGCCAATGTGATATCCTGCGAAAACTCCTGGTATAGAATCAGGCCCAAACTTGTGAAGTTGACCTGCTTCCCTTGTCTTCGGAGGCTTGTAGTTCACACGAGCACCATAGGGAATGAGTTTTCCAGCAAAGTCGGTCCCATGCAGTTTACACCAAGCACTGAGTTCATCATCATTGGGTTCTACATTAAGTAGATGGCATACACAAAGGATTGCCGTTCTCCAGAAACATGGTGGTAATCCGGCCTCTAACAGACATGTAGATGTCGCAGTCAGAATAAATTGGTTCGTTCTTTCGGCGATGGAATTTGTCTGAGGTCTTCCAGGTAGTGAATGATCAATTGGAATCTTCATCTCATTCATCGCTTCAATAAATTGTGGAGCATGATCGGAATATGCCTGTCTGACCTTCTTGGCGCCGATGAACTGTTTCACTGCTCTGACTACATCATCTTTAGTCATTCTGTCGGACGGATAAGCACCGATGATTCCTGTAAAACAATCTCTGACGACCAACACTTCCTTCTCAAGTACCAATACATCATCATGAACTTTGGATGTATCAACAGCATCGAAAGTGATGAGGTCGCCGAACTTCTTGAGTTCTCTTTTGTATGATCCTCTACGAGTCTTGAAATGTTTCATCTTTGCGCGAATGCAGGAATCACAGTATGGATTTTTGTATCTGTGAGTCAACTTGTGGTTCAGACTGTTTGCTTCCCTTTTGAGTGTTCCTCTCTTGGCTACCCTGGACTCACCTTCAACAACATCGACTTCGATGTCATCTTCGTCACCTTCAGCGACTTCTTCAGGGACTCCATGTCCTTCATCCTCTAGGTCGGTTTCTTCGCCACCTGGGGGACCATCATATGGAGTTCCAGGCGGGTATCCTTCATCATCGGATGGGATCTCTTCTCCAGGTGATGCCGTCTTTCTTCGTCGGTTCCCTGCCTTCCTTTTCTTCTTCACCTTAAGCTTCTTGACGTGTTGCGAATCACCTTGATCATCAACTGATACCTCAAACCCACTTTCTCCATCCAGATAAACTCTTCGGGATGTCCGGCCTATCTCATCTAGGTCATCGAAGTTGTCGATGCACTCTTGAAAACGTTCAAGTAGATCATGAATCTTCGATGTTTGATGACATTCATATGGAGTGCATTCATATGTCCCAAGGTCAACGTAGGGGATATTGTCATGAATCGTCAGATCAATACGTTCCCCGTTCCTTGTGATCATGAATGGCATCTTACCGGAAGGCCACACGAAGGAGTATCCTTCTTCCATGCATCGTTTCCCAAGAGACATTACTGACGGAGTGTCATCAAGTACGTAGGCTTGTGAGATCTCGTCAAAGGTTCCCAAGTCAATTTCGGCTTCTGTTTGGGTAGCAGTTGAACCGTTCGCAGTGTGGAACATGATGGGATCACAAACTCTTTTCTTCAAGTTCATTCTTTCAGCTTTTCGTGCAGAAATCAGATCATGTCCGCTACCAGAATCGAGAATGAATCTTCGATCTTTGGCTTGTACTGGTAGTGAAATGCACATGAGATTCTTGGACTTCTCGAGGGATCTTTCAGCTTCATGTTCCACAAGCTCCTCCAAAAATATCAGATCCTCTTTGTCACCATCCAACTTGATCAGCATGTCGAATTTCGGGCCAATGATAATCCTCACTTCATCTACATAACGATGGAGTCCATCCTTATCCATGATGATAGCTCTAGCCCTTGCCCGAGCTTGACCGAGTGTGCTGTCAGATTTGGATTGATCATCAGTCAGATCTTCGATCTTTCTCAAAACATAGGGCTTGTTGGGATCGCGATAAATTCGTTTGGGCATTCCCTCCGGATAATCTTTAATATGAATCTTGTAGATCTCAGGCTCCATATTGAACGCGATCTTGCGAACATCAGAAGACTTCTTTGCGCTGGCTATCCTCGGTGAGGAATAATCCTTTGCATCTTCAGTGTCGCTATCAAAGAAGGAATCAACGGTAATGGGAACCGCTTTCTTCCTCTTGTCCTTGTTGCTGGCTCTTTCGGAGGATGCTGATGGTGACTGGTCTGCATGCAGAAATTTGCATTTGCTTCCAAAAGTACATGTACCCTTTTGCCGCTGCCAACATACCTTCTTCTTCGGTCCAGCTGATGAAGAACTTCCCTTACTCTTCCTTCCAGATGAATCTCTGCTTCGACTTCTACCTTTCTTATCCTTCATCTTGGCATCATAGACTTTCTGAGAATGACTGTAAAGACACTTGTCAAAGTAATTGCAGAATATCTTCTTCTTGTCAGTATAATGATGATCTTCCCTTCCCACCTTTGCCCTTGCCTTTCTTGTTTTTGTCGGCATGAGACTTCGGAGAAGGCGTAGGAAGTACAGAGGCAGCTTCACTTTTTGCCTTAGCCTTCGGCTTTCCTTTGGGAGGGTCACCGGCAGATGAAGCGGCTGCAGCGTCTTCCTTCTTCGTCTTGGTGGGGGCGGCAGCTTTCACGTCATCTTCCAAGGCTGGTGTAGTTTTGTTGGATGATAACGATATCTTAACTGCACGTTCCCTGTCTTTCAACAGTCTTTCTTGCTTCCCTCTGGCAATGTATCCTTTGATCATACTGATTAGGAATTCATAAGTCTTCTCAGGATGCCCTTCATCGAAGGTACGGTATCGGCTGATATCAAAATGCATGAGCTTTGAGTGTTCAATCTTCCGGAACAACGTGTCACGCAGGAGTTCGTAGAAGGCCGATCATCATGTTTCATGTTGTATATGATATCAAGCCACTTGTTGTAGAAGGCCTCGAGTTGATCATCGCCATAGTAGCTGAACATGTACAGATGGTGAGCGTTGTAGAGAACTTCAGTATGGTCAGGTGATTTGAAACTAATCAAGATCATTGCGAATAATTCTCGTCCCTTAATGAAGTCTCCGCTCTTCCCATACATCTGGTTCTTCATAGACATGTCATACTTCACTTGCATGGACTTGTCCCCAGCATTGTCGATGACCTTCCTCAGAGCATTGGAGAGTTTAGCATCAATGGATTGGAATCTTACCTCAGGTGCTTTGGCTAATGTTTCCAAGTCCGGCTGATCTGTGAGGCATGGGGCTAGCCACGCTTTCCAATCTTCATAATGTCTGTCTCCACTTGCAACACAAACTTCATGAACGACACTTCCTTTCCAAGATGAAAGTTCAGTGGTCTTAGGCCAAGGTTGTAGGTTGATCTTCTCCGCTTCTCTCTGAGAGATAGAAGATTTGGACTTGTCTTTCTCGAGATTCTCCAGTTCGATGACGTTGGTATTGTACTCGTTCCTGAGTTTCTCAAAAGCTTCGGCTTCGGCACGAAATTCTTGCTCTTCGTCGTTAGCACGATCTTCAGCTTGGGAAAAGTTATTCTTGTAGTAGTCTTTACGCTCTTCCATCTTCTTCAGTTCATCACGAAGAGCATTAACTTCTGACTTCTTCTCTTGTTTCATCTCTTCCAGTTCAGCTTTCAATTTGGCACATTTCTCTTCACACTCGTTCCTGGGGAAAGCATTGTTGGATGATCCATACATTATAGCTTGCAGGTTCTGTGCAGAAGAAGAAGCGGCCTGGTTCTCGAGCTTCAGTGCAGCGATGGTGTTCGACATTTCCTCCATCTCCGTTTGACGTTCACTGACAAGATGGTGCATTTCTGTCAGGTGACTTTCAGGAATCGAATAATCTGTTGCTCCCTTGATGACGATCCGTCTATCATTCAACATACTGATAGCTTTACCGGCATCACGATGAGCACGACTGAGGGATTCCTCCTGTGTCGCAACTTCAGTGTTGAGTCGATTGATTGCCTCATCTCTGTCACTGATCTCATTGTGCAAAGCGTCAAATAGGTTACTGGAAGTGTTTGGATTGTTGCTCATGAAGTTGATCCTTCCCAAAGCGTCTTGGTACTTCTTTCCCAGTGAATCATATGAACTTTGATAGGTCTTGAGCAGTGCCTCATTGTCGATAAGCTCAGCCCTAGTCCTCCGCAGCATAGCGTCAACGTCACTCTTGGATTTCATGGCCTTCTCGTACTCACCATGCAATTGATTATACATCTCGTAGTAAATCCCATGTGATGGAGAAACACTTGGAGATGCATGTCTTGCTTGTTGGCATGAGAGTTCATGATATTGATTCTTTGATTCAGTCAGTTGTTGTTGTTGCATTCGATCCAAAAGGCTTTGTTTCATGTGTAGTTCAGATCGTAGTTCCATGATCCTCATATCACGCATTCCGCTCACCTTAGAGGTCAACTCTTCAGAATACCGACTTTCCGATGTGGCCAGTTGTGATTGTAGCCCTTCATTGCGGATAATCTGTAATTGAAGTTGTGATTCCTCCAGAGCTAGATGATGTTCACATTCAGAATATCTGTTGTGTTCGGATCTTAGATCGCTACGAAGTTCTCTCATGATGTCTTCCCTCTTCGCATCACAGCAGAATCAAGCTCCGTTTCCAACCGTCTGATGTTCAATGACATAGTGCTCTTCATCGTTTGGTTCTGATTTGCGATCTCGAGCATCTCAATGTGAAGTGCACACGTTTGGTCATTGGCATATCCGACAGCCAGGGCTTCCTGCTTCGCATTCATCTCTGCGTTTTCCAGTTCCAGTCTGAGTTGATTGATGTGAGCATTTGCGTCTGTACCCACGTGTGCCATGATTGCATTCGCTTGTCCCATTTGTTCACTGAATTCAGATCTCAATTGTGAATATCGAAATTCCAGATGGGATGCTGCTTCATTTGACATAGTCCGATACATTCTCTCACTGAATTCAGATCTCAATTGTGAATATCGAAATTCCAGATGGGATGCTGCTTCATTTGACATAGTCCGATACCTCTCCAGCTCTTCAATCCTGTAAGTTGCTCCTTCGTCCTCTTGTTGTGCGGCGAGCAGCTCAGAATTCAGGGCTTGAAGCTGTTGAGCCATCGATGTCATCTCATGATGGGTGGTGTTCTCCAGGTAGTTGAATTGTTGGTCAGCATAGGCAGCCATTTCGGTTAATCTCGCCTGAAGCACAGATTCTTCTTCAGTAGCCCTGTCCAGTGATGCTTTGTACTCTGACAGTTCACTCTGATAGGCAGTGAAGACATCGCTACCACTTGATGGAGCATTCACTTGTTGAAAAGATCCTACTCCTGATGGTGTAGCGTCCTGAATCGGTGAAGGCGGATTCGAAGATGTAGGCTTCGCCTTAGTCCTCGGAGTCATCGGAGGCGACGATTGTCGTGCGGACGATCTCCTCTTTCCAGGTGTATTGTCCCTGTCTTCGATTGCTTGCATTGTCGGCATTAATCTCCCTCTCGGGGCAACCAGAGGTCGTTTGGATTTTCTAGGTCTCAGTTCTGAGGTTTCGCTTCCACCAGTATCGAAACTCTGTGAAGAATTTGACTGCGTGCCGGCAGCTGGTGCGGCGGCATGTCCAGCAAATGAGAATGCGTTATCGCTACTGTCCTCTTCAGCCATCGATTGTAAGGTCCGCAGGTACCCGCACGTAGGCTCCGTGGGAGGCCGCTACGGCTGATAACCTGTGAATCGGACGTTCCCTAGTATGTGTCCTTGTTCTCGTTGTTGAGTGATCTGTTTCGCGTTTGTCAATGGTCAACCGGAGGCGAGCTTCAGCATTGCTCTTTTCTACTTGGACTCTGCAGTATGGGGTCTTGAGCCAAAAGGGCCAATGGTTTTGTGGCCCCTTGGCATATGGAAAGATGGCTGCATGAATGGGGGGATATATATATATATATATATTGCATCCCTACTGTACTCCCATTCGCATGTATGTATGTATGTATGTATGTGTGTATGTGTGTATGTGTGTATGTCTGTGAAAGTGACAGCAGAAGCGCAGCAAATGATTTGTCACCAAGCGACGACCATCGAAAACGTCTGTGCCTCGTTCTACTTCTAAGGGCCCCTGATATGATTGGGCCGGAAATGTTAAAGGAATTCCAGCATCGCATGTGGCATGTTTGGGATCAACACTGCATCATCAGACCTCAAAATATCACAGCTCCCATCATTTTGATTGATCCCAAACCGACGGATTTCATGTGATTTCTGCCCATTTTCTCGGGCAAGGTGTCTGGCCTGCATATGGTCTTCCTCTGCCGTCAGCTGAAACTTTCCACTACACAACACCTGATATAGGGGTCTGTTTGAACCCTTCACTTTCGTGAGTCCGTCTGCCAACATGGCTGGGTGATCGATCCAGCGGATGCTACCATGCAAACTGTTCAGGTCTTCCCTGATGATTTGAATTTCGATTGCAGTTCTCTTGTCTGAACCACCAATAGTCTCCCTACTAAGTTGGTCATACAAAGATTTCGCGTCAACTACTGCAAGGCTACCCTTCAATCTCTCAGAAGATGAACTGGATGCTAAAGCCATGACTTTGCTACCACTCAAACGTTCTGTCCAGTTTCGGATTTCAAAGGACCTGTCCTGCAGCTCTTCGAATAGAACCATAACCCAGAGTAAGTCTCCTAAACCCCGTGATAGGCTCTGTGTTTCTGCAGCAAGGGTTGAGTTTACTACCCTTTGAATGCGGCCACTGCGCCAGCACAAAACGTTTGTGGTGACACGCAAATTCTTTTGAAGTCCATCTTCATGACACAGAATCATTTGACCTCCCTGTGAGTGATAACCATCGTTTCCAAATGACGCATCTGTGACAACGCTGAATTTCATGTTCACCAGTGGTTGCAATCTGATTGACATGTCGGGCACCTTTTTCACGCTTCTGATCACGTCGTTGAGCGCAGTGATATCCTCGATTCTGGCATGTGCTATGCGAGATGACAATAAGCTGGCTGGTCCAGCTAGATCTGGTCTTCCCTCTTTTGCTAGCCAATTGAGAGATCCGCAAGCCGCTCTCATTTTCTGTCGCTCGACCTCATTGACCTCCTCTTTCTTCTTGCTAGACCTACCTTTCTCAAGCTCAACCTCATGCAACCTCTCCTCAACAAATTTCATCATGTCAATCTGAAACTCGCCATCGCGCTTTTGTCTGATTCTTCTACCGTTGAACATGGCTCCTTCTTCAGTCTCAGGAAGTGTGACCCACTTCCCAAACGTGAATCTCTCCTTGAGCTTCTGCAACTGACCCTGATGATATTCATTGCCTATCATGAGAAGGTCATCCACCTCTATAGCTATCATTCCAGCTATCTCATTTCCTTGATACAACTTGTAGATGCATGGGTCCATGGTGCTCTGCTCATAGTTGATGCTTTTGAGGAAGTCCGTGAGAGATTTGCGCCAATGAAGCGGCGCATCAGTCAGCCCATAGCAACCGGCTATGATGATGGCTATGCATTCTGGATCTACTCCTTTGATGCCCTCTGGCTGCTGTTTGAAGTAGAGTGGTCCACCTTTCCTTTCCAAGGGCTGACTTTGGCAAAATGCGTTCTTGAAGTCAGCAATTTCTCCAACCATCCGGCGGTTGGCTCCTATCTGCATCATCACCGCCAGGTTCATCGTGTTGACCGTTGGAGAAAATTTCTCCAGGTCCAGAATGTCTGGATCTAGATCCCCTCGCAGGCATAATCTGCTTTTCTTTGTTGCCGGGGTCCCTGGCTGCTCCGATGGCTTATAGTGCCTGGCTATCTTTGTAGGAAGGATCCTCTTCAGCTTCCCTTCCCGAGCCAGTTGGGCCTTCACTGCCCTGGACTCTTCGGGTGACAGCACTCTCACTGCCCCACTGTCCACTATCTTTTGCCATTCAGCAGCATCAAAGTCCTTCCATTCTTCTAGATCCTTTTGAGATTCTTTTCTCATATCCACTTCATCGGATCTCTTCCTTTCGGTAAGCAGCACTCTCACTGCTTCCTTTTCTTCTTGGCTTGCCTCTGCCTTGAAGAAGAAGGTTGTGGTTCCTTTCCACCAACCCTTGTGTCTTTCTGGACCGACCTTTTTCGTCCAGTCATCTTCTTCTGTCTCTGTTGGCAAGTTTTCTTTGTAGTTCAATTCTGTTCTCCTCTTGGTTTGGATCGCGTCTAGATCCACAGGGCATCCTTCCTTCGGATGAAAGGGCGTCCGACGCTTCTTCACATGATGTCGAACTAGTCGCCCTCTTTCTATGTCAACTTGCCAATAGTCTCCTCTGTTGCTTTTGCCAATCTTCTTCAGCAAGCTGTTGGCTCTTCTTCTTGCCTCTTCTATCTCTTCGTCTGCCTGGTCTTCTTCTGAATTGAAGTACATCTCCCAGCAGTAGGGGTTGCTCTCTTCTCTCCTCAAACGCCATCCTCTGATTGGAGTCGAAGGTGGAGGTAATCCATCCAGTCTGTTGCTCATCTGTCTTGACCTGTCTACCTGTTCTTGAAAGCCCGGTGCTTGTGCTTGCTCTGCTGTAGGCCTAGGATCTGGCACTACTGGGTCAAGATCTCCCATGCTGGGTGCTGCTTCTTCACTGCTTGTGCTTGCTGTTGGTCTCTCCTCAGTCTGCTCACTGGTTCTGCTTTCTTCTGTTCTCTCTCTCTCTGGCTCATCTACCGTCTGGATGGACATCCTTCTTTGTTCTGCGGGTTGTTCATCTTCTGTCTCTGCAAGGCTGGGCTCGTAAGACATGTCTTCTTGTTGCTGGTCTCCTGCAAATCTCACTCTTCGAAATGCCTCTTGATCTCCTCTTTCTTCTTTCTCTTCGTCTTCAATCTCCTCTGGCCAAGGCTCTTCTGTCAGATCTTTGTACCCCGCCTTTCGGGAATTCTTCTTGTATTCTTCTATGACGTCCTTGCATTCTGAAAGGACCAGTTCTATTCCTGTCTTCTCCATGTTTGTTGCCAGTCTGCATTGTTCTCTGGCGACCTTCCAAAGTTCTCCCCATACCGTCACCCATAAATTTGCACCATCCACTGTGACCACAGTGCCGGGACCAACCCAGGTGGGTTTGTTTCTGGGGTTGTCTCTTTCTTGGGGACCGCCATCTTTTCGTTTTCTTTGTCTATGTACTCTGTATACATAAACGTAATCTCCTGGTTGGTATGTTGTGGTGATTTTTGATCTGGCTCTGCTTACATTCTTGAGTGTGCTTCTAGCGTTGTGCTCTATGAACGCTTTCTGTGCCAGTCTCCTCATCTCATGAAGTCTTTCCACATCATCCACCATAGCTCCTGACACCAACAAAGGATCTATCGCCTCATCTAAAAGGAGCTCAGAAGGACTCCTGGGCCATTGTCTTACCTGACGCTGCACCGGAGAAAAGCCGCTCCGGTTCGCATACCTATTCTTGCAACTTTCAACCTCTTGCATCAGCAATCTGAGTTCGGCTTCATCAGCCAAGACAGTCTCATTTCGCGCCTTCTCCAAGAGCTCCTTGAAATGCGCCCCATGCCTCTCGGTCTTTTCATTCTGCCAGGGCGCTCTTGCTCCAGCTTGGAAAACCACGATACCATGACCTGTCGCCTTTCTGACGAAATCTGCCAAAAACTCTTTTCCACTGTCGCAAATGATGATCTCCGGGCACCCAAAGATTCTCATCCAGCAGCTCCACATCGCCTGCCAAACTGTCTCTGGGTCTTTGTTTGCCAGCAGCTCTACAACCTGAAAGTTGCTTCCCCAATCCAGCACTGAAAGCGCTGGTAGGAGGTTCTTTCCTCCAACCTCTGGTATGTAGATCAAATCAATGCCCAAAACCTTGTTTGGCTGATATGTCTTGGGTATGCTGCCAACCCTCACTGCTTTGGGTTTGGGTCTGCTTTCGCATGTCTCACATCTAAAATGTCGGTGTGCCCATTTGACCACCTCTCCTTTCACCCTGGCTGCTTTCATGAACCTGATGAAGTCGGGAAGAGCTGGATGTCCCAGTCCCCGATGTAGCTTTCCCAAGGCTCTTTTCTGATCATCTGCAATCTCATGCTCCTCTTTGCCTTCTCCAATTACCTCTGCTCCTTCTTCAGCTACATCTTGTATTTCATCAAGCTCTTCTTCCTCTTCTTCTGCCCAAACTTCAATGAGGCTTTGCTCCTCTTCGCTGTAAAGGTGCCATCCTCCATCTGCCTGTATTTGCCTTCTAATGCCTCTGATGATCGCCTCACAGAACTGCCTGGGATACACCTCCGCCTTGTGTGCCAGACCTCCCATCAGGCTCCCATGTGTGTGTGTCCTCCTTGGCATCTGCGGCTCGACTGTGTTGCTACTTCTGGGCTGTCTGTGAGTATGCCTGTGGTCTTCTTGTTTAGCTGTCTTCCATCAACACACATGCCATATTGGCACATGTCGCATGTTGTTCTCATGACTTCCGGAATTGCCAGAATCTCCTCAATTTCTGGCTCTTTCCATGACCTGGCGCCATCTGGCTGTTCGTAGATGACGTACTTGCCACGTCTTGTCTGCCATTTCATGATTGCTGCTGCTAAACGAAGATGCTCCAGCCCCAGCTCTACCAATTGAAATGCCGCATCAAAGCCCATTCGTTGGAAATTGAGTGACTGCAAAACCGAAAAGGCCTTGCATGGATGGCAAATCAGGACACCATTGGGTCCTCCTCCTTGAGCTTCTTCCAAAAGGCTCCTCTTTGGGTGGGGTCTGATAGATCCCAGCCTGTGAGAATGTCATAAGCCTCTCCCGCCTTCATGCCTCTATGTTTTGCCAGCTTTGTCACCCTTGGCGGTGAGAAAACCTCACTGACATGAACTCCTCCTGCCTTTTGGAACATAACCTCCATGTCTTGCTGCAACTTCTTCCTTTGCTTTCGGTTGAATTGGATTTCTCTTCCATTGTCCCATCCTGACTCATTCATCATCCGGTTGCTCGGATGTAGTTTGACTCTTGTCGGTCTTTCTTCATTCAGTGGGACTCTCCCCTGTCTGAAACTCCATGCCCCTTCCTCTTGCACCTCATACCCATCTTCTGCCGTGAAGATGTTGTTGGTGGTGTTGCTGTGGTGTGCTTGCTGCATCCTCCTTAGGCTCCTTCTACCTCTCCTTGACTGGGCCTCTCCCCAGCCATATTCTCCGCCTAGTCGGAGATCTCCACCGCTTCCTGTCCTGCTGTCTGATCCATCGGTCTCCTCGGGCTTTTGGACCTCCTCCTTGCTGGTGCTGCTTCTGCTTGCCTGGGGCTCTTGATGGAGTTCAGTGGCGGACTGGCCTTTGGCTGTGTTGGCAGAAAGGACCTCCTGGAGTATGCCTCCTCTGAACTCACCACACTCCAGCTGTCCACATTGGATCCGTCCTCCCTCTTCTCCCAGAGGAAGAACTGACATTCTCTCTGCATGCACTTGAAAAATGCCCTGCCTTTCCTGGCTCCGTCCTTCTTCACAATCAACCTCTCGGCTGGTTGCCTGCATTCGCAGAGGACCACCGCTCCCTGTGAGCTCGTGGGTGGTGCTGCCTGTTGCTGCCTCCTCTGGGCATTCTTCTCCTCGTACTCCTGAATGATGGCTCTCATCTTGGCCTCCATTCTGATTTCCACCTCTCTGGTGGCATTCCTCTGCGCCGTCAGCTCGTTCTGCAATCGCTGCTGCATCTCCTGACTTTGGATCCTCTCCAACTCCAGTTGCTGCATCAACTTCATGTTCTCTTCCGTGACCATTGGGGTGGCTTCCACTCCCTCCATAGCTTCCATCTCCTGCTGTTGACCCAAGAGGCCCTTCTTCTCTTTCTTGTTTTGCTTCATGTCCTTCCTGAGTTGCCCCGCTGGGTATGCATTCTCCCAACGACTGTTGCAATCTCGGCAGGTGATATAAGAGGCTGTCTGGTTGCCGCCTCCCTTCAGCTTGGACTTCGGGTGTTTGCATGTGCTTGGAGAAACTTTTGGTGGATCTCTGGTCTTCAGCGGTGCCAAAGGCTTGGCTCCCGCAATCAACTCCGCATACACATCCTCTATGGTCTCCTCCCGTGGCTCCAAGTAAGAGGACTGCAAGTGTGGCGATTGAGGAAACCACTCTTCCACGACTTGCTGCATGTTTGAGAAGACGATCAGAGTGGTCATCTTGTCGAGGATGATACGCCATCCCTTCCAAGCTCTCTTTGGGTGATGAGCCGGCGGCTCCTCTTCCATCTGCGTCGCATGCCCCACTTCGGAAGCTGCAGCGCCGCTCCCAAGCCGCTTCACGCGCGCCAGCAAAGATGCCATGTGGGCCAGAGCTGGCAAGGTTCTAAACCTTGGGATTCGAACTGCACTCTGTCGCAAGTTGAGCCACCATTGCTACCATCGCATATGCATCACCATGTCGATCATGTCGTGGAAAAAGTTGAAAATCTTCTTGACAAAAACCTGATGCTCCTTCTGGAACCTTAAAACCTTCTGTTGCAAACTGCATGACATCGATAGCCACATGTCCACTTGCCAAAGACTTCATGTCGACTGTAACATCATAGAGCTTCATGATGAACTTCATGTTGCAAAGATCAATAACAGTGTAAAGTGCAGTCATCATGCGAATGGGAAGTAAAAGAGGAACATCACCATCAACCACCGTCGTTTCTAACAGGCCATTGACTCCACCAATTCCCAACGGCAACATGGCAACTCCCAAAACTGATGCTTGACCTCCTACACCTCTGGCTGACGTCTTCTTTGATGTCCACATCACTTTCAAACCTTTCTTTTCCAATTCACCTTGTATCCTACCAAAAGCAACTGAACCAACCAATCCACCCTCTGCAGCTGTATCAACTATGCCTTGTTCAGCTGACGTACAAATTCCACAAAACTGAGCTGCATCGGACTTGTATGCTCCGTGGGGCGCTGAGTTGGTCTTTGCCCGGTCTTCTACAAACTCTTTCAGCCAGAACTGGGAGGTGTTCTTCCCAGCGGCAACATCAGATGCTACAAAGAAGCCTGATTTGGCCGTAGATGTTGAAGACGCGGAGACGCTGGCTGCTGTCTGATTCTTGTGGGCATTGGACTCACTTCTGCATTCACGGCTCAGATGACCCACCTGACCACATTTCCAGCATCTGGTTCGCAATTTCACCTGCTCTTTGTGAACTCGTTGCCACTTGCCCTTGCCCTCTGCCTTGCCGAAGCCCTTCTTGCCGAAGCCCTTGTAGTAGCCTCGACCTTTCTGTTGATCCTTGACTGCTTTGCGGATCTCCTGATAGCTCGCCATGGCTGCAATCACATCGTCTTCCTCCAGGATGTTGTCCAAATCACCCTCCTGGAGATAGACGTAGTTCTCATCGTCATCCTCGGCGATCATGCCGTAGGGGTCTTCAGTGAGGAACGCCTCCATATTCTCCGAGTCCACTTCGGAGACATAGTGCCCTTTGGACTTCTCCTTGACCACCTTGTCCAGCTTTCTCAAGGCATGAATGACCGACCTGCGATCGTACTTTCCATCTGCCCAAACCAGAAATCTCTGGTCCTGCGACTCGTTCAGGTTCGACTGGCGGTAGAGGATGTAGCCCTCCGCACCATCTGGTAAATCAACTCCTTCTTTTCGAAGTCGATGGAAGGCTTTGTCCATCCTGGCCAAGTACTCATTGAAGCCCTCTTTGGACGTCCTGGAAGCTCCATACACTGCGGCCTCAAAGGCCCTGGGCAGCGAAACCTCCAAGTGAGGCAAGAAGTAATCACGGAGTCTATCCATGATATTCTCTACCCCTTTCTCTGACGTGATTTCTTCAAAACTCATTTCTTCGACCGCCAATTTGGCTGGACCAGCAAGTGACCTAAGCAGCTTCGCTCCCCTCTTGACTGGAGGAACATCAGTCTCAAATTCCCATAATTTGACACTCTTTTCAAAACTTCTAAAAGTCACTTCTGGTTCTTCTCCACTGTACGTTGGGGGTGGATCTCGATCCCTATAGTGCCCCCCACTGTCCTGTCCTCCGGATGATGCTGTTGCAGCACCTACGGAAGTTGCACCTGCCACTTGACTTCTCTCCTGACCAAACTGGCGTGTCGGCGACACCTCTTCAGCAGAGTCTGGCGTAGGCATTTCGTTGAGTCACCTGAGCTATTTGCCTTGCTCCCTTTCTCGAACCGTGGCTCCGCTGCCACTGTGAAAGTGACAGCAGAAGCGCAGCAAATGATTTGTCACCAAGCGACGACCATCGAAAACGTCTGTGCCTCGTTCTACTTCTAAGGGCCCCTGATATGATTGGGCCGGAAATGTTAAAGGAATTCCAGCATCGCATGTGGCATGTTTGGGATCAACACTGCATCATCAGACCTCAAAATATCACATAATTATATAAAATTCAAATAAATTTAATTTTATATATTTTTTTAAAAATCTAAATTATTTTTTTATAAAATTCAAATAAATTCAATTTTACAAAAAAAATAAAAAATCATATTTCTTATTTATTTTTTGCATTTATTTCAAATTATACAAATATTATATATAAATAATTTATTTCATATTAATATAAATAATAAATTAAATTATTTATTTTTCATTAAATAAATAAAAAATAATAATTATAAAAAATTTCATTAATATTTAAAATATATATAATTATAAAAAACTATATTCAAATTAATATTAAATATTTCCATATATTTTTTTAAAAATTTAATTATTTATCATATATATATAATTAAAAATATAATATATATATTTTTCCGGCCATGGTCGCTAAAGCGTCCGTGGGCCGGCACTGCGACAGCTTAAAATTGTCGTGCGAGAGCCATTTGGTGGATTCGCCTGTTTTGCTCGTCCGTGTTTAAATAGTCCGTCCATCCGTTCGTAAGTTTGTTCCAAATATGTTTATGGGTGAAGTGGCGCCTTTGTTGCCTAGGCGCTCCTACCCTCCTTTTACCAATCGGATATGCGTTTGCTGATTGAGGAGAATAAACTACTTGTCTCATTGGGTCCGAGTCTGTTGCTCTCAAAAGGTGTCCAGATAGTTTAACTCGTTTGTCCAAAAGAAGTTCGGAGAAAAGTTTCACTTCGTGCCCAGCTTTTTCGGAAGCCATTCTGAGTACAAATTCGTTGGTGTTTCTTCTGTTAACAAATGTGGGCTCTAGATTTAATATAGATCTAAGCCCCCGAAGTTGAAACGCGTTAATCTTGTTTAGCATTGCCTGTGTCAAGTGCACGGTTTCAAGACCATAAATCAGTTTGTTTTGAATGATAGCCTGATAAACGCGTAGTCTCCAACCAACAGTGCAATTGGATGCTTTCCAAAAAGGTTTTAATTTGGTCCAAGCAGCCATCGTCTGCTGCATTCTGTATCCGATTTCCTGTCTCATGTTCATACTTCGTGTGATATGATGTCCTAAGTATGTTGTTTCAGTGCATCTACAAAGTTTGGTCCCATCTGCGAATCTGAGATTATTGTTCCCATTCATAGCGATATAGGAACACTTGCCTCTGTTCAATTTAAGGCCAAACTGCAGTGAAACCCGTTCAACAGCCCAGAGAATTCTATTGGCAGAAAAAGTATTGGTGGCTAGGAGTACAGTATCATCGGCATAGTAAATTCGATCGAAGCTGATACCTGGCTTTCTGGTTCCTAAAGTGCATCTGTCTAGGTGGTAATTAACATCATTATCAATCACGCTCATGACCAGAACAAATAAGTAAGGCGATAAAGGACATCCTTGACGTATACCTGACCTTTGGCGTTTGGGCAACGACTTACCAAATTCGTCTTCAACGAAGAAACAGGGGTTACGGTAGCAGTTTTTGATGACTTGAATGAAATGGTCGTGAATTCCAAGCCTGTTTAACGCTATGTAAAGTTTGTCGTGTTGTACCTTATCGAAAGCTTGTTTCCAGTCAAGGAAAGTTATAATAAGATTTGAACCCTGTTGTTCTGCGATATCTTGCATACGCCTAGTCAAAAACAGTGCATGCGAGGTACTTCTAGATGGCCTAAACCCATACTGTGTTTGCGTTAACGTGTCCTCTAATACCACCTGAAGCCTCTGCCGTATCAGAATCATGTAAAGCTTGTAGAAAGAATTTAACAATGATATAGGTCTGTAGTTCGCTGGATCGTCTGTATCTCCTTTCTTATAGATGGGCACCACGCGAGCAAAAAAGAGATCTTCAGGGGCATATTGGTTACTCCACCATAAGTTCACAAGACGGAGAAACCAAGTTTTGTTTTCAGAGTTCAACCAAGAGAAAAGCTCCATTATAACATTGTCCGGTCCCGGTTGCTTGTTCTTTTTGGAAGAAGACAAAGCAGCGTCAAACTCTGTCATAGTAAACGGTCTCAAGTCAAACAAATGTCTGAAGTCCTGTCGGTCCGTCCGGTCAACAAGTGTGTTGTTGTCATTTGTCCAGTGTTTGTCCTGAAGATAAGTGGCAATTGCTTCTGCCCTATTACGCGGCGCTACATATTCTCCTTGGAGATCCTTCATGTGGATGAACCTTGGCTGTTGTTCTTTTTCAATTTTTTAACACCCGTCCACTTTTCTCTTTGGTCCGGAATTTCTCTAATAGAATCAAAAACAGCACGTCTTTTGTCTCGCCTAGCTAGATTCTTGATTTTATTTGACAGTTCCTGAACAACTCCAAGGTTCCCACTTTCATGCGCCTGTTGTCTTTCAACAATTTTCTGCCAAGTTTCTTGTGATAAATATTCTTGCCTTTGATTTTGGTCAATTTTGGTTAAGGTTTGTTTTGCAGTCTCTATGATACAATTGGAGATTTCACTCCAAGCAGTTTCTGAATTCATCACCAAATTGTTGAGTCTCCGTGTCAGCAATTCATTGTAATGTGCAAATTCTGCTTGCGTCGGTTGCCGACATTTAGGGGCCCTTGATTTGCTATTTTTATCAGCAACCAATCTTACACCAACCTTAGCTTCAACAATATAATGATCAGAAGGAAAAAAGATGTCAGTTCTGGCTGAGACATCCCTGCAATTTTTCTGCCATTTTTCGGCAACCAACCAGTAGTCAAGCTGTGCATACTTCCGAGGTGTCCATTCCGGACCATGTTCAGTTGTGTTCTCGCGAAAAGTACAGTAGTTCATCGCTTGTTTTCTAAAACAAGTGTTCAAAATTCTGAGGCCGTCCTGTAGACAATAATTTACGAAAAGAGACCTATTTTCCAAGGTGTAATCACTAACTTGTTCTAAATACTCACAGCCTCTTCCGAAAATATATGGTCCCATGGCTGGTTCCTCAGATTGGTATCTGTGGTGAAGCCTGGCGTTAAAATCACCGCCAAGAAAGTGTATGCCTTTGGCTTTTCTGGCATGTGCTTGTACTTCATCATAGAACTTATTTTTCTTCTCTGTATCATGTCCACTGTGTGGCGCATAACAGGAGCTAAAACACAGATTGCGACCCTTCGATCTCAGACTGATTGATATGAGTCTGCCCGAAATTTGCTTGACATCATAGATAAAATGTTTCAGTTGGGTTGACACGACGATACCAACTCCTGCTCTCTCAGTCTGTACAGCATCTCGCGGTGAAACGTCTGTGCTGAAAAAGAAATCATATCCTTGGACGGTTTCGCTTTTCTTGTTATGGTTGGTTTCTTGAAGCAACAAAAGATCATAACATTCTTTCTTCATGATGTCAACAAGGAGCCTCTTTTTAACGTACCCGTTTTCTCCAGATAACCCTCTTACGTTCAGCGTGGCAACCTTCAGTGGCCGATTATATCTGAGTTTGAAAGTCCTTTTTGTTTTGTCCGTTTGGTTTGGGTTTTTAAATTCTTGAAACAGGCTCTTTCGCGCACTTCTGTCCAGCATGGCTGACTTCGAAAAAGCATGCTGGTTTTTGCACTGTCGCAAGTGCCGTTCTGGGGCTATTGGTTTAGCCACAAACTGGTGATACCAAGCTTTGAATTGTCGAAATTGTCGCCGGTTCGACCGCCTACGATTTTGTCTGGTTAGAATCCTATTGTTATTGCTACTGAAACTACGCAGGCCTCTGTTAGTATTTCTTGCTCGAGTAGTATTAGCCCCTGTGGATGACTTCGTTTGTCTCCGCTGAAGATGAAAACACCCCCGCGGCTGATCCGGCTCACCTCCTGAAGGTGAAGAACCTAGGATCGATTTTACCTTACCTGTCTGTTTGGCTTCCTCTGATTTAGAAACGACTTTAAAAACGACTTTTTTAGTTGGATTTAATGGATGGACTAGTCACAGTCCATTTGCATCTTCCGCTGCGGCGGCTTGACCATGTTCCATTACTCCCTTGTCATATTTCCAATCCTTTACCTCAGCCAGTTTATAGTCAAAGGGGAAATCGCCAATTTCTGTGTCAAAGTGTTTGCTTTTACTTTTGCCTTTGCCTTTTCCTTTTCCGGCTGCGCGCGATGTACCGCCCATTCTCACAAGCTCCTTGGCTTCTGACCAGTGGTTCCGGATGGTTCCGGACCGCATCATACACCATGGCATCCAGATACACCGTGGCGAGGACGTCTTTTACGCTCTTGTGCACCCAAACGTAAGTGTAGTACTCATCATACACGGCATTTTGTCCCCACCAAGGTTTCAGTTTGGACATGTCCAATTGCAATGTGCCATCTTCCACTGCAAGGTCCATTGCTTTCATGCTAATTTTCAACGGTTCTCCTTTGATTCTGTCCCATAGTGCTACCTGGGGTCTCATTTTGATTGTTGAACTTGTGGGTTGTCCATCCTTGTAGAAGTACAACTGGGTCTTTGGCGTGATGTAGTTGTCTTTGTACCATTTGTCCAGCTGAGTCCTCATCCATGATTGCGGGAATGTAATGACTGTCATTGGGGATAGCTCTCCTGGCTTGGTCGCGTGGGACATATAGTAGCTACCTGCTTCGATTCCGGCATTCTGAATGCACCATGCAAGGAAGGAAGCTCTCTGTGACGCTGTGGCATCAGATGGCCAACCAACTACACATTCTTCTTTCGATGCTTTGTCTCTTTGGTCTTTCACTTGATTTTTGAGTGCCCACAGTTGTTGTTTCCTAAATGCCCACTGATCCTCATTCAAGTCGTACATCTTCTCTTTCAGTTCGTTCATGGAAATCTGGAGTTCCTTCACTTTCTCTGTCACTGTTTCCATCTGTATGTCTACTACCTCCTGCATTGCTTCTCTCATAGCCTTCTTATCTTCTTTTGGTCTCATTGGTGTTTTTTCATCAAAAAAATAATCCTATTTATTATTTTAATTATCCTATTCCAAATTATTAATAATATATATTACTTTCTAAAATATAAATATTAAAATATATTAGATTATATTTTATTATTTTTTTTAAAAAAAAACAAATAAATAACAATAATATATTTTTTTAAATTATTTTTAAATATCAATAATTTTAATTATTCATATAATATATTATCTATTTTTTAAATTTCAAATACCATATATATATAAATATACAAATATATCTAATATATATTATGTTTTAAATTTCAAAATTATTATGTTTATCTTATATATATATTATATATAATATTTTAATAAATTTCAAATCCGATATTTTCAACCATTGCAAATAATTTCCACCTTCATTTTCTCCTACCAATTTTACCTCTTCCCTCAGCTTTATTTACCAGAACACCTCTCCAAATTACCCTGTTCATTCCAGCCAACCTGTCCTAAACCAATTTCCCAAGACACACCACAAAACCTCAGACCCAAAATTTCATCTCACATATCCCTATTTTGAGCTCTGCCGGAACAGTGTTGACAGCTCTTCAAATTACAGCGTAGATTTCCACAAATCTATCCCAATCTAATATCCCAAAATACCCTCAAAATCTCAAATCCAATGATGTAGGATTCGGTAGGTATCTGTGCGTATCTGCAGGTGTCTGTAAGTATCTGAGGATATCTGTAGGTATCTGTAGCTATCCATGGGTACCTGTAAAACAAACTCCTGTCCAGTTAACAAAACCAACTCAGACATTCTGTAATCATCGGCACCATTCCGCAGCCACATTTATCATATGGTGTTTTTATTTACTATTGGGAAAAAACCTACATTGAGATATACGAATTCGAATATGCTTGGTTTTATTTGATAAATAATTTTCACTATTACGATAACTACAATACTATATATAACGTATTTCTCATACATTTCTAAAACATAGTTTGAAATTACCCTGATACAAAATGATACAAACATACAAACATATTATGCGTTTTCCTTTCTCACATTTTTTTTCAAATCGACCTTCCAAACATCACAATTGTTCAAGGATATTGCAACCAGAAATTCCACGCACATTCAAGTTCAACCGTATGCACCGTGTTTGCAAGCATTTAAACCGTCCGAAATCCACTCCCACCTTGGTTGAGGTGGCTTCGCTGACCTCATCCTTGCACAGGCGCAACTGGTGCCGATGGATTGACGCTGGGAGGTTCTGTGATAGAAAAATATTGCACTCAAACCATTGAACTCTGAGTGATGTTTAGCTTCAGCTCCTGATGCTGCTGGTTTCTATCTCGCTGCTCAGTGCCTGTCCTCCCCAATCTGAGTGAGGTCATCTGAATCCTCCTGAGGCCACATGTGTCGGGTGTCCAAATCACATCCACTGCCTCGGTACACCTGGGTTGAACGCGCTGAAAGGGGGTGAACGTGGTTGACCACTGACCTTTGGATGCAAAGAACAACTTGCTGAGATTTTTGTCAAACATCCAATGATTGATGGCAAGGCCGGAAGCTAAATGAGATCAATGAAATCTGATAAATTCATTTTGATTCTGGCTGACCTCCACCACGTTCCAATCCTCCACAATTTGCGTGGCGTCGCTGGACTCCTGGTGAGCCTCACTGCTGTCAGTGGGCTCTGGCGATGGGCTGGATGCCTTCCGTCTTTTCTTTCGCTTGTCCTGCGACATGCTTGATTTGCCGCACAAACACTGTTAATCATGTTTTCAAATTACCAATCATATTATGTGGGACTGTGGGACACCTCATTTTGGGACAAACCCACCTGGCGGTTGTTCAGAGGAGGGATGTGCACCAGAATGGTCAGGAGTTTTTGTTGCTGGATGGTGACGGTCCGTCCTTCGACTTCTCCTTGGTTTTCTGCTTCAGCTTTTTCTTCTGAGCTTTATGCTTCGACTTCTTCCTTCTCTTTGGCTTGGAGTCAGAACTCGAAGGATACTCCTTGAGCATTTCAGTTGCTTGAGGAGAAGTCCTTTCGTAATGCTTTTCTTGTCATTTGATCAAATCACATTCACATGCTTTTCGCGCCCTATGGAGTCAGTACAACCTGAAACTTGCTCCTGCTCTTTTTTGCAATTTTTCTTGTCATCTTTTGGCCTGGAAGTTCGAAGCCGCAATACATGATCTCTGGACACTGTCAGGCTGGAAGCATGGCGCGGCATTTAAACCTCCACATCGCTTGAGGGTGACCCTGTGCATCCTCAATTTGCACCTCTCGGCGTGAACTATGACTAATTTTAAATGTGAAACGGCAAACCAAAGGCACAGTAGCCAGAGTCAACAGAGAAAGCATCAACCACCTGTTCACTGATGGCCAGTGAAGCATGTTTGGAGCAAAGTGTCTTGGAGACCCACAGATGGTGCTCTGAAGTGCCTGACCAGCGAGGTCTGGATACATTTTGAAGCGACAGGAGAAGAACAAACACTTGGATTTGCACAAGCCTGATTTGAACAAGCTGATTTTATCAATGGTAGTCCCCGGCTAGTCCCCTCTTCCATCCTCTTCCAACCTGCAACATGCCCTCCGCCAAAGCCAGCAATGACGTGAAGTTCACTGACGTGTTGTCGGCGTCGCTGGGGAGATGAAAGCGCTCCCCAAGTGGCGAGCCCACCACATTCCTGACGGCTGCCAGTGGCTGGCGAAGGTCGCCTAAAATGCCTAAACCAAACTCTTGGATCTGCAGAAGATGGTTAATGCAAACATGTTGAGACACGGATATCCTCATGGGATTTGGTGGGTTTGTATGGGTTTGTGTCATGGTTGTAATTCATCTGTCAGATTTGTTTGAAGAGCGATCAAGTGCGCCACGGCTTGACGAGTATACCACTTAGGCTCCTCGAAGATCTTTAAAATTAAACTTTAAAATATACCTCTTCAAGAAGGGAGGGCTCCTCCGCAGCACAGGCAATCCTGAACAGCGCACACACCCGCGCACGCACGTATGCACCAAAAAAATAGAAAGACTCTCGTGCAGTCGAAGACTCATTGCCGGCATTCCTGAATGCAAAGCTTTCTCTATCGCACCAATCGTGTTTGTGGCATTCATTACACCAGGTTTCAGATGCACGAATCGCGGCAGGGGCCTCAGTTTCCGCAAAAGGTCATCCAAAATCATTCTGCCAGGGCTGTCAGGGCCTTGGGACGTGCTCATCACCACCGGAAGCGTTCCGCTGCCTGGTCCCTCAGAGTTCTGCCCTTCAAACCGCGCGTAACCCGCCAAGTCAGCTCCGATGCTGATGAATGGCACCTCCACCAAGGACAAGTTCCGAGATTCCGCTAGGCTTTTCAGAAAGGGGATGGCACCCTCTGAGATCCCTGTGTCAAACCTGGTGGTTTGAATCACCCCAAAAACAAACCCATTGGGCCCGTTGGGATGAACATGATATTTGTTGGGATACACTAACACAATATGTGCAGATGCAGGATATTGCAGGTCTATGGTGCGTGCATCTGTATCCTCTCTCTGCCTCTCTCTGTCTCTCTCTATCTCTCCATCGCTCTCAGGTGACCTCATCTATCTATCTGTCTATCTGTCTATCTGTCTATCTGTCTATCTATCTATCTATCTGACTGACTGACTGAGTGACTGGCTGGCTGACTGACTGACTGAAGAACTGACTGACTAATGACCCAACTAACTTTGCAAGTAACAAACGAACTAACTAACGAACTAAAGAACCTACCAGTCAGCCAAGGGACTAAATCACACTACGCTATCTATCGGCCCATCCATCCATCCATCTATCCATCTATGCTTACCTACCTACCTACCTACCTATCCGCCTATCTACCTATTTACGGATCTATCGATCTATCGATCTATCTCTCTCTCTCTCTCATATGTACACGCATAGATGGGTTTGTATCCTATAGTCACGTCAACTTGTAGTCAACTAATTGTAGTGTCAATTGGGACTACCCGAAGACAAAACTAGATTGGATCGGAAATGTTCAAACCATCTCTGCTTTCAGATCTTTCAGTATCAGAAACTGCTCATGGCCCGAGGTAAATCCAAAGATCGGTTGCCAACTTCGACAGCCACATGGCTCCGCCAACCCCTTGGCCAATGCCAGCAGAAGGGCGATGCCCGCGCCCCGTTCCCCGGCGGCACCGAAGAAGCCGTTGATGGGCGTTCCAATGTACAACGGCGGTGCTACCAAGCAGCCGGGAGTGGCTGGAAGCTGTGCTAAGACGTTTCCTGGGCGCAGGAAGAGCACACCCCCAAAAAAAATGTCCATATGTATGTCTGTATGCATGTTCGTACATGTATGATCTCCACCGACCGTAGCCGACGGCAAGGGGGACCGCGTCAGAGAAAAGATTACAAGCAGCAAGTGTCGACTATAGCAGGAAGCAGAGAGAAAACAGGGAGCAAGAAACTAGAAAGCAAGACAAGGAACTAGGGGGAAAAGAGATGGAGCAAGAAGCCAGAACAAGAAGGAGAAGGAGCAAGAGCAAGAAACCAAAAGAAAAAAGCCGGAAACTTGACAAGTAGACCGGAATCACGCCAGAAGGAGTAAGGGCAAGAATAAGAAATGCATGCTGTTTGGGCGTGGCGAAGCCGCCATGTCTGACGTCTGGGAACTTCTTTTTGGAACTAGTTTCTTGTCCGAGTCTTTGATTCACTGAATCATCGGTTCATTGATTCATCGGTTTATTGCTTCATTTTTTTGCCGGGCTTCCAACGGTTTGCCCTAGAGCTAGAAAGCGACAATTTGCACTGTCGCTTTCATTGCTTCACTGAATGATGGCTGATTCATTGATGCGTCTACTCTACTCACCACTTCATTCATTCATTGATTCAGATTCATTGGTTCATCGACTCACTAAATCATTCATGCGTGGATTAATTGATTCATTGTTTCATTGGTTCGCCGATTCATTGGTTCATTCACTCACTTGTGCACGGATTCTTTCATGCCAAGTCATTGGCATCTCAACCACCATTTGCTCATTCGTTGATCCACCTCACAACTTCAAACGCTCATGGCTTCTGCGTCTCAAAAATGTTCCTATGGGCCATTGATTTCTTATAGCAAATTCCTATACATGCATCCATATATCCATACAACCATACATCCATCCATCCATCCGTCCGTCCGTCCATCCATCCATCCATCCATCCATCCACCTAACAACACCATGCCATGCCATGCCATACCATACGATACAATACGATACCATACCATCCGTACATACAGATGCAGATGCACATACAGATACATATACAGATACATATACAGATACATATGTAGATACATATGCAGATACATTTACCGACGCATATGCAGATGCAATATGATGCACTCACATACGTGTGTATATATATATATGATTATATTAGTTAATACAAAAATGCATTTGCATATAAATATATAGTATATGCCAAATAGATCCAAATAGCCTATAGCGCATGTTTGTTTGTTTGTTTGTCTGTCTGTCTGTTTGTTTGTTTGTTTGTATGTATACGTTGTATTTGTCATTAAGTTGGTAATTATACATATGCTATGTGAAAGTCAGTTGCAGTTAATTGGGATGGTTGTCTCAGATAGGATGTAAATTCACGTGTATAATATCTATCCATAAATATATATATATATATAATATAGTGTACCCCCCAACAAAAACAATGAAATTATGTTAGCAAATATCTACTTCAAATATCATCGGCCCAAATAGCATGGACATCATGTACACATAAAAACTTCGAGACCATCACCCAGTTTCGAGATGTTAGGGTCCGATGGTCACCCAGCAGCTTCAGAGATGTCAGGTAACTGGCGCTCCTCAGCAACTTCTGAAAAGCGTTGCTCACCGTCACCACGGGCACCAAGGCCGGAGCACAAATGTGTTGATCCCAATCGAACGGCCGGGGCTGGGTCACATTCTTCAAGGAAGAATTGTTGATGACAATTACCGCGTCGTAAGGCAAGGTACCATCTGGTTTCAAATAGCTCCGGTAGACCTCCTCGGCTTTCAACACATACACCTGTCAAGGGTTAAGGTTGAGTGCAGAAGTGTGCAACTATGGGCAGCTGCAAGAGGGCGGCATCCCACAAAACCCCATGAAAGTTGGAAGTTGGAAGGTTCTGAGTTAACGCTCGCCTTGGCGCTGCTGACGACAAGCACACGCTTCATTGGCACGTCATCCAATGTGTGAATTTTGTGAGCAGCCACCACGTCATCCAACACAGCAGGACGCATAGGCGGTTGCTGCACCACGTAACATGGGATCCGATGCAGATCAACAACCAACTGACAGCCGTAACCGCCACCTGCTGCTCCATCATGCTGTGGAACCCAAACTGCTGGCCCTGGCAAAGTATAAGCCTGGAATTGAACCTCAAGACCAGCTGCTTGAAGCTCCTGATAAATCCAGTTGCTGGTTGCTTCATCTGCAGAGCTGCCCGTCAAGTGCGAGGGACCGAGCTGCGAGTAGTCCTGCACCAGCTTGGCCAAAGATGTCTCTGATGGCAGCTCCACTGCAGAAGCTACCAGTACTAAGAGAAGATGTGCCAGCATGCTCGACCCAGACCTGGATTCAAACTTTGATTCAAACTGCAAGAGGCCGAGGATGGCCAAAGAGATCACAAAATGTTGCAATCAATGCCTGGGACATCGCTGCAGAACGAAAGGTGCGCGAAAGTGTGAAAACTAGACTTGAATCTGTTTTGCTCCCCATGCAGATTCACTTCCCTCATGGTGGGTTTCAATTTGGGAGTCTTGATGGACTGATGGAGTGTTGCGGTGCTGATATGTTAAAAACGGCCCATGTGTCCCCATGGGCCTTTTGAGCGTTTGACCAAATTGAGGTGCCATGACTAACATGTTCTGGCTGCGGCAAGTGTCCAGCCCCTGCTTGCCACTTAACCCCAGAGTTGACAAGTCATCCTCTGCCAAGCAAACATTGAGACAATCAACCAAGAATCCAATTTCGACCACCTGCCTTGGCAATGCCGCTATGCTAAGCAAATACCATTCACTACCCACATACTGCCTCTTTGTGTCATCCCCGAAGCTTCTTTGTGCCCAGGTGACCAGCAACCCTCCGCCTCATTGGGCCACCATCTTGGGAACGATGCTGGCCATCTGTCACCAGGGAGATCCTCGGGAATCATGATCCATTGCTACTTTCCCCTGAGATTTTCCACATCAATCATGTCAAACCACCAGGCACTGAACACATCAAACTGGGCAGTTTCTTCAGCAAATGTTTGACCTCTGTGCCTCATGTCAAGCAGCTTTGTCTGAACGTAGGGCGCCCCCAAATTTCATGGTTCACCAAATGTTTTGACGAATCTATACATCCCAATTATGTATACATTCTACACACACACATCATATATGTATAGGTATATTGTTATCTGTATTTATTTATATACATGTTTCCATACATCCCCATTACCATCTGGTTATTTAACATAGCCATGGAAAATCCCTCATAAATGGAGGTTTATAGCTGGGAAAATCATCTATAAATGGGCCATGGCTTCCATGGCTATGTTAAATAACCAGATGATATATCCTCATTTTTTTGCGGCAAATCCTCAGGTGCCGCCAGGCTTCGGCAAGCCCCAGGCTGCAGCAACCTTCGGATCCAGTACCGCCGGCGATGCCACCGGTGCCGGCGGCGGCTTGGAGGTGGGAACGGCCTGGGCGATGGATAGACCCTTTTTGGTTGTTGTGATATAATATTAACAATTGATGGGGTATAATATTGAGTATTAGTATATTGATATCTGATATGTATGTATGTATGTATGTATGTATGTATGGTATGGTATGAAATGAAATGAAATGACATGAAATGAAATGAAATGACATGTAATGTAATGTAATGTAATATAATGTAACGTACTGTAATGTATTGTATTACATTGTAATGTAATGTAATGTACTGTAATGCAACGTATTGTAATGTAATGTATTGTACTGTAATGTAATGTAATGTGAGGTGATGTAATGTAATGTAATATATTGCAATGTAATGTAACGTATTGTAATGTAGTGTAATGTTTTGTATTGTACTGTAATGTAACGTAATGTATTGTAATGTAATGTGATGTCATGTAAAATATTGTAATGTAATGTCATGTATTGTGATGTATTGTGATGTAATGTAATGTATTGTAATGTAATGTAATGTATTGTAATGTGATGTAATGAAATGTAATGTAATGTATTGTAATGTTATGTAATATATTGTAATGTAATGTAATATGCTGTAATGTAACGTAATGTATTGTAATGCAATGTGATGTACTGTAGCGTAATGCAATGTATGGTAATGTAATGTAATGCATGTAATGTAATGTAATGTATTGTAATGTAATGTATTGTAATGTAATGTATTGTAATGTAATGTAATGTATTGTAGCGTAATGCATTGTCATGTAATGTAATGTATGGTAATGTAATGTAATGTATTGTAATGTATTGCAATGTAATGTATTGTAATGTAATGTAAAGTCTTGTAATGTAATGTATTGTAGCGTAATGCATTGTAATGTAATGTAATGTATTGTAATGTAATGTAATGTATTGTAGTGTAATGTAATGTATTGTAATGTATTGTAATGTAATGTATTGTATTGTAATCTAATGTATTGGAATGTAATGTAATGTATTGCAATGTACTGTATTGTACTGTATTGTATGGTATGTATGTATGTATGTATGCCTGTCTGTCTGTCTGTCTGTATGTATGTATGTATGTGATATGTATGTGATATGTATGTATCTATATATTTATTTATATATATATTTAAGCTAGCCCACATTTTTCAACGCAGCCGATTTGGGAATCAAGGTTGGGGTGAACACGGAGCACTTGAAAGTGCCTATACAATTTAGGGGTTTCACCCCAGGGGCCCCACCCATAGATGGACTTGCCGTGGCAAGAATCCCCAACCTGCCCAGGGTTAGGGAGGGAAGGGAGATGCAAACGGCTGCGCACACATGTGTACGCATAAACCGTCGTACCACTACCTAGCGGTTACTCCTCTTTTTAAGCTAGCCCACATTTTTCAACGCAGCCGATTTGGGAATCAAGGTTGGGGTGAACACGGAGCACTTGAAAGTGCCTATACAATTTAGGGGTTTCACCCCAGGGGCCCCACCCATAGATGGACTTGCCGTGGCAAGAATCCCCAACCTGCCCACCTGGCTGTTGTTAAAAACAGGAAAGGAAAAGTACTCAAAAGCAAGGGCTCAAGAGCCAACTAAAGCCACCGCAGGCGCAAAACGGAAGAAGCAAGGGTTAAAGAACCCAAAACCAACCCGAAAGCCAAAAGGGAAAAAGAAGGAAGGGGGGCAGCGGCAGAAGAGCCGGTTCAAGAACCACAGCGGCCCCCCGAGCAGCAGCACTCAAGAGCACTGACCTGCCAACCCTTTTCTTTTTAAAGGGAAACCACACAAGGGAATACAGCACCAAGGCAGAGGCTAAAGAGCCCCAACCGGCAGAGGCTCAAGAGCCCCAACCTGCCCACTTTTCCGAACTTGGCGAAGCTATTTGAAAGAGGAATGGCCCTTTAAAACGGTAGTTAGTGTGATAGACTAGTCTCCTGAACCCTCAAGAAGGTAAAACGACTGGAGACATGCCCGCGATTCTCAAGAGAAAAGCAGAGCGATCGTCTTTTTCTCCCTTTGAAAGAAGAACTTGGTGCTGCGGGAGTTTATGTACCGGAGCGAACTCAACCGCTTTATTGCTGTACATAGTGAAACTACCAGCAGGCGCGCGCGTCTGATATTTCAGCATCCAACGACCCCGTAGGGCATCAAATCACAAATTCAGCCTAAGGAGGCGGCACATGCCAATCTATTGACGCGCGGCGCGACTGCTGAAAAATACTGGTGGCATCCAAAATAACCAAAAGGTGAAAAAGGCGCCTTTTCAACTCGAATCACGGGATTTCCTCGGCGCTCAATGCCTTTCAAGGGCTTTGGAGGGTAAAGACCCGAGCCCAGGGCAATTCGGCAATCGTCCCAACTGAAATTTGAACGGTCACACCACTCATCGGGGTGGAAGGATGAGTGCCTTCCTGGACCTACCCGCGATTCTGCGGTTTCACTTTTCCATATTGACTCCACTTGGTCAGGGTCCACGTCACCAGTGGATGAATGTTTGCGGCCATAGCCAAGGCGAGGAATCTTTGCAGGACCCGGTTGACCCGCCTTGATTTGGAACGGCCTTTTTCCACGGCCCAAAGACACGGGACACTGTCCACCACATGGATGTACACTTGGTTAAATTGCTGAGGCGATCGGGCGCGGCGGCGCAGTTCGGCCAACATGGCCACCATTTCAAGACCACGAAGGCCATGTTGTGATGGCCACTCATGGGCCAGGCAAGAGCGCCAGTTCCACCGAAAAGCTGGGTACGGGACAAGCACCTCCCTACCATTTGTCTCCTCCTTTGGGCTCAGCAGCCTGGCATCTGTGCCCTTGAGTCTCAGATGCCTCGCCAGGCCGGCCAGGTGCCTCTGTTCATCTCCCAGCTCCATGTGCCTCACCATTTCCTCCACCTCAACAACCAATTTATACACCAGGTCCTCACTTTGCATTCCTCTGGCTGACCCCATGATTTGGTTGTACAAGAGGTGGGGAAGGTCAAACTGTGCCGTCCCCAAGGGCGGAATCATCAACGCCCTCAAATCTGCGACGACAGCACCCGCATACGCCACACAGAACCGCCAGGGATATTCCTCTGTCCCTGTCTCCCCCGGGCCTGACCGCCCTGAGGACGGGTGCACCCCTGATTCCTCGGAGCGGGCGCAGTGGCATCGCGGGTGGTGCAACGCTTGATGCACCTGGGAGAGTTGTGCAACAGCGAAATCCAACTTGCCTTGCGGCCCCCAAAACAACAGAACGAACATGAGGAGACCATGGAGCCCGGGCGTGACCGAATTTCTTCCACCTCTTCTGTGCGCCATAGGAGAGAGTCGTAGGGGTGTAGCAGGGCCGCGAAGCCCCCTTGGCGGTCAGCAGCTTCCAGCCCCTTGAGGCAGCGCTTGGCCATTTTATTCTCCTGCCGGACTATCACCTGATCGTCACGCGACAGGCGATCTACGCCCCAGGGCTGGTTTTCTGTCCTGAGTCGAGCATGGCCCTTCCTCTTTCCTTTTCCTTTTCTCTCCCCCGCGCGTCTCCGGGTGGCTGTAAAGGAAAAGCTGTCGGGCGACCAATGACGCCAGCGCAGCGCAGGGTCCTCCTCCAGGAACTCCAACGCATCCTTTCCCGGCTCCGAGAAATAATCCCAGGAGTTGTCAGCAATCATCAGACCCAGGGGTCGCTGAACAGCTCCGCCGGCCAGCGCCACTGCCATCGTCAATGGATAGTTGATTCCAGCAAAGCGTTCCCCGAACCGTGGGATCGCAAAGTCCTTTCGCGGGCACTCGCCTTGCTCGAAGTGCGACTGGGCGCATCTGATGGTGCAGCCCCGCATCCCACACGCCCGTGGGCAAGGGAAGACTGCTGTGTCCGGCTCTAATACGCAACCGCAAGCTCCACACACAAAACCCGCCCGTGGGCGTTGCGCTGGAGCACGAAATCACCTCTGACATCACGAACTTGAGTGGGGAGCTGGCCTGAACAGACAGGACCATGAAGCAAGTCACCTCTTCGATTTCTTTCAAGGAAGGTGCACGCTCCTCTGCTTCCCACGTGAACTTCGGAAAAACTGCCTCCAAGACAGACAAAAATGGGCGGTTGAAGGACGCCATGTAAATGGCTTTTCCTATAGTGCAGGTGCGGTGCCCGCTATACTTGTGCCTGCAGTAGGCCCAACGACAAAGCCACAAAGTCCATAACTTCTTGCCTCGTCGCCCGCAGGCTCTCCGTGGGCCCGTCCATGGCCCCTGCACTGACCCCCCTCGTAAGGGTTTCCATCACCAGCCGAGTCGCTTCCATTGGCAGGCCCGCGGCCCTGCACTCCGTCTCGAAACGGCGGTGCTTCTCAGAGTGCACCCCAGCGTCGAGCTCCTGACAGAAATCTCTCATACAAAGCAACTCCGCAATGAAGTCGGAGCAGTCCACAGCGAGCTGATCACTGCTCAGCGGGGGCCACCGATTTGTTGTGGGAGCCGGCCTCGGCACCCGACATCTTCCGAAAACTAAGAGGCGCAGGGCTCCTTCCACCAAAGCCAGTGTGTTTTTCCAACCACAAGGTAGCACACACCACGCTGGCCTCACTTGCACTCCTTTCGTTCCCCCAAAGGCGGATGCGCATACCTTCTTTGAGAAAGCAAAGTGCGGGAGCCAAAGGTCGGGGACCGAGAACACGGACAAAGCGCGCGATAGTGGCCACGATTCCATGTAGTAATCGCCCTCCTCAGGCAGAACTATCGCTTCCAACAAACCCCCGTAGGGGAGCACATCACGGCCCCCTGGCAGCCGCTCAGAGTGTTCGTTGCTGGGCAACATGATCGGGACAAACCACTGAGCTGCCACTAATCGGCCACTGACGTCCACCTGGACCTCAACTCCTCCGGCCCCGTTCGTGACATAGTGGCCTTCTCGGTCTTTATGCAAGAGGCTGTCGGACACCACCTTCATCAGACCCCGCTCATGGGCCGCCCGACACAATTTGTACCAGGTCTCATCTGAGGCCCTGACCTCAGATCTAGTGCGCTTGAGCGGCCGCACATCATCTGGAAGCCACCACCCCGTAGGGTCACGAACCGCTCCCATCAGATACCCATCCAGCATCTCTGTGATGGGCACAGCTCTCGCGCCCCCGACCGGGGGCCAGGCCGCGATCACCTTCTCAGCGTCCAACGTGTCAATGCACCTGACGGGCTTTCCCCGGTCCTCGTTGCCACCGCTGCTCATCATAGCTTGGACCCTAGCTAGTGACGGGACCTGGTCATTCTCACCAAAATTGAGCCTGAAGTTCTCCCCTAGATTCTGCACAGCTTTAAGCTGATTCAATCCTAGAGAGGGTTGAATTGGAACTGCGACAGGCCTGGCGCCGCCCCAGCAGTACAGGTAGTTTAGGACAATAATGGTCGCTCTCACCCATTGCAAATTCCGGGAGTCAATGCCCTCGAGCTCCGTGGTGACAGCCTCCGGATGAATGGGGAGTACGTCACCGCGCCTCTCTGTAAAAGGCCTCACGGCGTTGAACAATACAGGCGCGCGAACTCCCCCAGGGGGCCATCCAGCTCCAATATTAAGTCACACAGGTGACCTCCCACACTCCCGAAGGAGCACATCTTGGTGAGAATCGACCTGGCGTGTGCCTGCCACATTCCCTGTACCTTCTGGTTCCCAGGACACGACAGCTGCGCACGGCGCCGTTCATCCTCTGGTCCCGAGTCAATGCCTCCAAGTACCTCAATTCCTTGACACATCAAATCCTCAGCTTCTGACTGATCAGCAGTCCTTTGAGATCTTTGAGCCATTGCGTCGGGGCTGATGCTCCGCAACCGGATCGTGCCACGGCGCTCTTCAGGCGGATCAGTCCGCGATCGAGCCCGTCCGGCCCTGTCCGTAGAGCTTGACCCGGTATATGCACATGATCCGGCTCCCGGCCAGGTCTCATCGGCTCCCTTTCATGCCGGTAAATGTCTTCTCGACCGGGGCCCCTTTCACCCTTCCGCGAAGGGCCCCGACCTTTCCTTCCTCGGGCTGCCTCCATCCCGTGGGACCGGCTTCGCCCGGCTCTCTGATCTCCATGGTCTGAGCTCAGAGCCTTGGCCCTCTCGGGATTAGGTTCCCTATGTGACGATCTTCTCCTTCTTGAAAGCCGACCGTCACCGCTTCCACCCGCTCCTGATGAGTCAGGGCTTTTCAGTCCCCGCCGAGACGGTGCATCCACTAGCCAGCGGCCCACATTGCCACCTAGAGAACCATCGGGGCTCCCCCGGTTGAACGACCTTCTTGATCTCCTCGACTCCTCTGGGGACCGACATCGGCCGGAACCCTTCGCCCTTGAGCGGTCCTCGTCATGAGCCGGAGAGGAAAAGTGCACACCCACGGCATCGCGGCCTTCATTCCTCCGCGAGGCCTTTGTCGAGACCCCTGGACAGCCCGGCTGACTAGCCTCCGTGCCGCCTACGTTCTGAGGAGGCACTTCCTGGGCCTTGGCCCCTGTGCTGCTGTTTCTTAACACTCGAGCCCGCAGAGCCTCAAAGTCTGTTTTTGTTGGGCTCGTGGTCCACCACTCAGAGATCCTTTCCTCTAGGTCTCGAGGCCCTATCATCCTCAACGTATCCGTGTGCACTTCCACCTCCTCCTCGTCTCTGACGAGGGTACACCTGTCAACCTGACCTAAGCACAGGTGAAGGTCAAAACGCCCCTTCTGTTTGGCACCACCGCCGGTTCCAAGCCACTGGAACAATTTATGATCTTCGACACATCTGACCTGAATCGCCAGCCATTTTCCTTTGGTTTCATGCCGGGGGGTTCCAAGCTCTTGGGTGCTAAGGACAGTCGCCAGCACACGGCTCAAAGTCCTAGCGCCCCGCCAGTACGCAACGAACTCCACCGTGGAACCTTCAGGGTAGCTTTGACCAGCCAGCCAGCCAGGGTCCAAAGCACTCTGAATCCATGGCCCCGGCATCCCCTCAAAAGAGGGGAGAGGTCCTCCCACGTATGGGGGATCACCCTCGTAAGGGATGGTGACTCGCCCGATTTGGGCTTGAGATGCAAACGGCTGCGCACACATGTGTACGCATAAACCGTCGTACCACTACCTAGCGGCCATGGTTACTCCTCTTTATATAAAGATATCCTGGACCATCCAATTCCTAGGAATCTCACGGGATTCTAGGAAGTGACTTTTTTTTTTGGCACAAAACGATGTCAAATGGATCAACACTCCTTATTTGACTGAATTTCCTTAAAAATCCATCCAGAACCAATGAGTTGTGGATGTCGCAGGCTACAAGGTTTCTGACAAATGCAAGGTCACTGAGAACTTCGTTGAAACTCCTGAATTTCTGAGCTTTACTAGAATAGAAAGCAGGACGTGACATTTCTCGGAAAAGGATGCTCCAGGGACCCCAGGCTTTGTCCTTTGCTTTAGCCTTGGGACTCTGCGGAATCCTCTGCTTCCGCTTCCTGCGGCTTGGTGGCTCAAATGCTCAACTTTTCCTGGTGAAGCTAGTAACAAACTGGCCAAACATGTCCAAACAAATGAAAATTGTCGAGGCTGTTTGGCGATTTGTTTGGTGAATTTGGATTTGAATCATTCAAATATTTCCTCAGCAAATAATCGTCCCCTATGGGTTCTGAGCGCTGATGTATTGATTTCAGGAGCCCCTACACATCAACATGGAGCCCTATACGGTATCCCCTCCTGTAAACATCTGTAAAGTAACATAGATATAGAAAATCACCAGAAATCACAGTTTCATACAATTTCTAGGTTATTTCCCCAGGGAAACCATTGGTTTTCCACATCTATGTTCGTTTACCCCAGGGTATTCTTGGATGATCTGGGCGTCTGCACCTCTGCACTTTCGGAGCCTTGGGAGCCTTCGGAGCCTTCAAAGCCTGGCGGAGAGGCTAGGTCGCTGCATATCATGGTGTGCCAAGTAGATCAAAAACATAAAGCATATTGTCACACACATATATATATACATACATATACATACATATATATATATATACATATTATATGTGTGTGTATCTGCATAGATTTCACTATATACCAGTAGTACCGCACAAGGCGGTGGCGGAAGTTTCAAAAATAGGAAACCTATGAATACCTATAGGAAAGGTTGGTTGTTGAGAATCAGGGATGACAGAGCGAAGCCACTGATGGAGCGACAGGTCTCCTCTCTTTCTCTCTCTCTCTCTCTTTTTCTCTCTCTCTTTCTTTCTTTCTTTCTCTTTCTCTGATTATTTACGTACCTACCTACCTACTTACCGATCAATCTATCTAGCTACCTATCTATCTATCTAGTTACCTATCTATGTGTTTATCTATCTATCTATCTATCTATCCATCCATCTATCCATCTATCCATCTATCCATCTATCCATCTATCCATCTATCCATCTATCCATCTATCCATCTATCCATCTATCCATCTATCCACCTATCTACCTATCTATCTGTCTGTCTGTCTGTCTGTCTATCTATCTATCTATCTATCTAATCTATCTAATCTATCTAATCTATCTAATCTATCTAATCTATCTATCTATCTATCTATATCTATCTATATCTATCTATATCTATCTATATCTATCTATATCTATCTATATCTATATCTATCTATCTATCTATCTACCTATCTATATCTACCTACCTAGCTAGCTATCTATCTATCTATCTACCCATCCATCTGTCCATCTACATATCTATCTACCTATCTATCTAGGTGTCTATCTATCCATCTATCAATCTAGCTAGCTATCTACCTATCTACCTATCTACCTATCTACCTATCTACCTATCTACCTATCTACCTATCTACCTATCTACCTATCTCTCTCTCTCTCTGTATATATATATATATCTATCTATCTACCTATCTATCTATCTATCTATATCTATCTATATCTAATATATCTATATCTAATCTATATCTATTCTATATCTCTATCTATCTATCTATCTAGAGCGAGGGGGATCTATAGATGAGCGAGCGAGAGAATAGCGATATATCTATATCTAGCAGCCGATCTATCTATATCTATCTATATCTATCTATATCTATCTATATCTATCTATATCTATCTATATCTATCTATATCTATCTATATCTATCTATATCTATCTATATCTATCTATATCTATCTATATCTAGAGCTATCTATATCTATCTATATCTATCTATATCGATCTATATCTATCTATATCTATCTATATCTATCTATATCTATCTATATCTATCTATATCTATCTATATCTATCTATATCTATCTATATCTATCTATATAGATCTATATCTATTTATATCTATCTATATCTATCTATATCTCTATATATCTATCTCTATCTATCTATATCTATCTATATCTATCTATATCTATCTATATCTATCTATATCTATCTATATCTATCTATATCTATCTATATCTATCTATATCTATCTATATCTATCTCTATCTATCTCTATCTATCTCTATCTATATATATCTATCTCTATCTATCTCTATATCTATCTATATATATCTATATCTATCTATATCTATCTATATCTATATCTATATCTATCTATATCTATCTATATCTATCTATATCTATCTATATCTATCTATATCTATCTATATCTATCTATATCTATCTATATCTATCTATATCTATCTATCTATCTATCTATCTATCTATATCTATCTATATCTATGTGTCTATCTATCTATGTGTTTATCTATCTATCTATCTATCTATCTATGTGTTTATCTATCTGTCTATCTGTCTACCTATCTATCTATCTATCTGTCTGTCTGTCTGTCTGTCTGTCTATCGGTCTAGCTGTCTCTCTATCTATCTGTCTATCTGTCTATCTGTCTATCTATATCTATCTGTCTATCTATCTTACCTACCTACCTCTCTCTCTCTCTCTCTGTCTGTCTGTCTGTCTGTCTGTCTGTCTATCCACCTGTCTATCCACCTGTCTATCTGCAAGCTTGAAAACTAAGCAATTCTGCGAGACTTCCTCATTCTTCGACGTTGACAACATCAAAAACGAAACAATTCTACGAGACGTCTGCAGTTTTTGAACTTGACAACATCAAAAACAAAGCAATTCTGCGAGACTTCCTTCAAAAATGGAAAGTTAAGTGCAGCGCTGACAGCCTCGTACCAATGCGTTTTGCGATTTTTCCACTCCACCTGTCTAAAGTACTGCGCCTACCACGAAAAATTGATGCCAGGTCATACGAAGTGTTGCACCTGTCACGCAAAATCATCTTAGCAAACCTACAGGTCTGATGCTCCAAAATGCAACCCCTCTCAGGAAATCAGCGCCCTGACTTCCTAACATCTCTCATGAACATGTCTTTTGTACTGCGCCTGCCACAGAAAATGCATCTTTGCAGGTCCTCTTCAAATGCCTCACGCCTGCCATGGTTTTTGGAAATGCGACAAGCCCTCACGTTTTGCTCACTTTTGACAAGGTGCACAATCCCTTGCGCCTGCCACGCGAGACGACATCTGAACCTCCAAAAGTGGCGCGAACATGTGGTGTTTTGTACATTTTGACTTCGAAATGTGCTTCGCGCCACAACGGCGTGCACTTTTTCATCTCTCATCTGGCCAGATGGCCCCGCACCCGCCGCTTTAGCGAGCCTACTTTTCGACCCTCCGGAGCCACAAATCATTGGAAAAACAGTGTTTCGCGACTTTCCTACCTTTTCGCGCATCTGCATCTTCTTTCTTCTGACTCTTTCTCTTCTCTGATCTGCTCTCTTCTACTCTTCTCTTCTCTCTGCTCTGCTTTTCATCTGTCCATATTGTCGGAAGTTTGACTTCTAAACTTCCTTCGATAATATATACATTGAATCACATTGATGTATCTTAACACGTGTTGTATTCACAAATAAGGCATACCAGCATGCAAAATATATAGAACACATTTGTCGAATACCTACTTCTATCAGCTTCCAATCAAATACGAACCCAAATATCCAGCTGTGAGGAGGTTGCCAACCACTTCCTAACCACTTTTTCTCCGCCTGTGGGCCTTTGGCTATGCCCATCCACTGCATCCCTGACATAGCAATGCCAACATACGGCGCAATGGGAATTGCTGACATGAGCTACACATCCCGAACACATTTATCAATGTCAGGCATCATCCTCCCCTAATTTTGTTCACATCTATGATTGTACATCTATCAGTGGCAGGGATCATCCTCCCCTGTTCTTGTTTTTCTTTTAATTGCAGAGTTGAGACACTTTTGAAACAAGCCCTGCGCTATTCCCATCTGGTGAAATCTTGCAAATATGCAAGCAGCCGCTTGCACGCACATGTTCATCCTGAGTGGAGAGGGTGCGGCAAAATGGCTTTGATAGCTTCAGGATGGCAGCATCTAAGCGGCACATACTTAATCCATCTTAAACTTAAACCTCAAAGAGGTCGGGGACTTCAGGGGCCTATCATCAAATTTCATGGAGTTGATTTCAGCAAAAAAAATGAAGGAAGTTGGATCAATGAACTTCAACCAAAGTGGTTCACGATGCTTTGGGATCCTGACCATAAGCTCCGGTGGCGGAGGCGGCTTCAGCGTCTCCTGTCCACGACACAAATGAAAGGAGCAAGGCGCCCTGCGGGGATCTTGCCTTGTGAGATCTTTGACTATGAAAAAAGCGTGATCAAAAAAGGAAGATTTCCCAGCAACGTGTGAAAGGCGACTGCATCAACCTGTGGCGGTGGAGATGCAGCAGCAAGCTTGGCCAATGTTGCCTGACCACAGCAACTCTCGTAGCTTTGATTGACAAAACCGTTGGCCCAATGTAGGACCCTACATTCGTGCGCTAATTGTCCCCCCCAAAAAAGGTGGCGCTCGTCTATCCAAATGTCATGAAAGATCCCGGTCTGAACTACATCGCGCACAAACACCTGACCCTCTGCATCTGCAGTGACTCTCAACTCTGCATCTTTCACAGAGCAATGTGGGTTTGTCTGAACAAATTTTGGGGAAAACCCCTAATTCCAACGGATTATCATGGATTATCATGCAATTTCAGATTCTCATATGTTACAGCCATTTTTAAAATGTTTCGATTGTTTTTCTCCAATGGATTATCAACATTTTCCCATTAAAACATCTGGTCCAAGTCCCCCAGGATGCTCATCGCCACAGCGCCTGTGGCGGTGGTGGAGGTTCTTCAAAGGCTCCTCCATCCAGGTCCGGCGGTGGCGGAGGCCTGGCCGTGTCTTCTTTCCACTGGAAAACCATTGTTTTCCATGTTTTTTTTCCATGGTAATTAGTTCCTTGTTTTGTCGATGTGTTTCCCATGTTTTCGCATCAAACATAGACATAGTGCTTCTCCTGCAACATCCCCAAAACCAATTCTGGGATAACAACAGGGATACTTAGTCATATAATACGAACGAATGATAAATGGCTGTAGGGGATGCACTTGATACTTGCCGATGATGATAATGCTGGTTGATGGATGTTGATGTTGAACTACGTTGGTTGCGATGTGTTGCCATGAACTTGTATGTTTATCTTGATGTTGCTGATGATAACGAGTGTTGCTGCTGCTGCTGATGATGATGATGGTGATGATGGTGATGGTGATGGTATTGGTGATGGTGATGATTATGGTGATGGTGATGTTGATGTTGATGATGATGATGATGATGGTGGTGGTGGTGGTGGTGATGGTGATGGTGCTGCTGCTGCTGGTGGTGGCGATGATTATGATTCTAATGCTACTGATTTTGCTGTTGGTGGATTTGTTGTGTACCACTTTCAGGATCTCTTCCGAATGCCTTGGCTCAGCCGCTTTTGCGGTCGGTGCGTCCTGTAGGCACTGTAGGCTTTAACCAGCTGCGGCTTGGTTGGATTTTACAAGAATGAAATTAAATTGTTCCAGGATTGAATGACGTTTCTATATGTTTCTATCATTTTACTGGACCTTAAGTCACAAACATATCATCATGCAGCTCCGTATGGTGAAGAATGCCAACCAGGCAACCATTTTGTCAGTTGGAAGTAGATCAACGACAACCTGCCTGGTTGGCCTTTCTCATGGCTCAAGTAGAATCTTACACAGTAGTGACATTTTAGGAATTGGCACGCCATGATCTCCAAGGGGAGCAGTCACTGATGATGGATGACTGTCATCCTCGAACGGACTCTGCACTAAGGTCAAGCTTCCTGTGATTTGCACTTGTTTTGTTATTTGCAGCGTCATTGGGGAACCCTCAGCCCCAACAATGCTTTCTGCAAACTGAATGGGGGCACGATCATCTTCTTCAATAAACCCTGTGTCACATTGTGTCACTACCAGTGCCAACCCCGTACGGTGAGAGGTTTGATTGACGAATTTCTACCAGCAATTTAATCTGTTCATATCTGTTCATATCTCTTCCAGTCCAAAACAATAACACCACCCGATCTGATGTTCCAAGTCTCCTCCGAAAGATTGGCGTCCAGGGCGTGATGAGCATAGACTTCCTGGCGAGCGTGCAGCGCGTGCAGCACATGTGAAATGATCCGATTCAAAAGGCTGCTTGGTCATCTTTATGCCCTTCATCCTCATCCCATGCATCACCTGAAAATCATCTTTTTCGTCTCAAGTCATGAATGCGACACGGTCATCAAGGTGGTACTCTTGAATCCAATTCAGCATCATGTTTTTGGAGTTAGTGGGAATGACGTGGGGGTATCCCAAGGTTTTACAAGCACCACATCATGAACAATTATAATCTACCGCTGAACCTCCCCAGGATTGACATATACGGCCAGAATACCACTACTATAACACATCAGGAAAAATATCAGCGAAACCACACCTAACCTTAGTTGGACAACGTTCCTCTCTGTACCCCACCATCAAACTTCCCGAAAAGTCCCTTCTTCTTGGTGAAATGCACCTGGTTCGAACCCATCATTCAATGCACCTGTGAGCCACTACCCACCAGGCCTCAAAAGGTCTCCACACTTCACCGTTCAACTCCTCCTCATCAACTTGAGAGACCTGGCTGAGGCAAACAAGAACACCGCATGTCCAAAAAATAAGCCCAAAGAGTATCCCCAACAGCCAGAAACAAAAACAATGCCAAACACGCAATGGGTGAAGTATGTTCATTGCCCCGCCCTTCTTACTCTAGAGGTCGGGCGTGCAAGGCGCAATCAAAGAACACTTTATGAAAAAACGCTGTTCCAAAAGCGTTTGCAATACTGTGGCCAATATTCCCGAAGCTCGTGCGAAGAGTTTTTTCCCAAACAATTGCTGTCCGCCTCACTCTTCACTTCATCTACCTAACATACACCATCCACATTTCTTGTGTCCTTTTACATCACCTACATCTTCTATACCATCTTCTACACCATCTTCTCTAGATCTACATCTACATCTACACCATCATCATCATCATCATCACGATCATCATCATCACCACCTACATCTGTCTCACCTACTTTTCTACCCCACGTACACATTTTTCCATCATCCTCATCTATGTGACATGCTTTATCTACCAGGAAGTTTCAAAGATAGAAAACCTATAGGAGAGGCAGGTTGTTGTGAATCAAGGATGGCAGAGCGAAGCCACTGATGGACCAAAAGGTGATTGAGGCCTCCTCTTTCTCTCTCTTTCTCTGATTACCTATCTATCTGTCTATCTATCTATCTATCTAATCTATCTATCCATCTACCTTTCCACCTATCTATCTATCCATCTATCTATCTATCTATCTGTATATCTATCCATCTGTCTGTCTGTCTATCTATTTATGTATCTATCTATCTATCTATCGATCTGACAATCTATCTAGCTATAGCTATCTGCTATCTAGCTACCTAGCTAGCTGTCTATCTATCTACCTACCTACCGATCTATCTAAATCTAATCTAATCTAATCTAATCTTTCTTTCTTTCTTTCTATCTATCTATCTATCGATCTATCTATCTATCTATCTATCTATCTAATCTATCTACCTATCTATCTATCTATCTATGTATGTATGTATCTATGTATCTATGTATCTAGCTATCTATCTATCTATCCATCTACCCACCGATCTTTCTATCTATCTATCTATCTACCTATCTACCTATCTGCCTCTCTATCTATCTCTCTCTCTCTCTATCTATCTATCTATCTATCTATCTAATCTATCTAATCTATCTACCTACCTACCTACCTACCTATCTATCTATCTATCTATCTATGTATCTACGTATCTACGTATCTAGGTATCTAGCTATCTATCTATCTATCTATCCATCTACCCACCGATCTTTCTATCTATCTATCTACCTATCTGCCTCTCTATCTATCTATCTATCTATCTCTCTCTCTATCTATCTTTCTATCAATCAACCAATCAATCTATCTATCTATCTATCTGCCTATCTATCTGTCTGTCTGTCTGTCGATCTATCTATCTATCTTTCTTTCTTTCTATCTATTTATCCGTCTGTCTATCTATCCACCTGTCTATCTGCAAGCTTGAAAACCAAACTATTCTGCCGAACTTCTTCATGTTTCAAAGTTGACAAATTGACAACATCAAAAACGCAGCAATTCTGCGAGACTTCCTCATGTTTCAAAGTTGACAACATCAAAAACGAAGCAATTCTCCGAGATTTCCTCAATGTTTGCACGTGACAACGTCAAAAACAAAGCAATTCTGCGAGACTTCCCCATTGTTCGAAGTTGACAACATCAAAAACGAAGCAATTCTGCGAGACTGCTTCATTTTTTGAATTTGACAACATCCAAAACGAAGCAATTCTGCGAGACTCCTTCAATGCTTGAACTTGACAACATCGAAAACAAAACACATCTGCGAGACTTCCTTCAAAAATGTAAAGTTAACTGCAGCGCTGACGGCCTCGTGCCAATGCGTTTCGCGATTTTTCCACTCCACCTGTCCAAAGTACTGCGCCTGCCACGAAAAAGTGATATCAGGTCATACGAAGTGCTGCACCTGTCACGCAAAATCATCTCAGCAAACCTGAACATCTGATGCTCCAAAATGCAACCCCTCTCAGGAAATCAGCGCCCTGACCTCCTAACATCTCTGATGAACATGTCTTTTGTACTGCGCCTGCCACGCGACATGCATCTTCGCAGATCCTCTTCAAATGTCCCACGCCTGCCATCGTTTTTGGAAATGCTACAAAACCATCACGTTTTGCTCACTCTTGAGAAGGTGCACAATCCCTTGCGCCTGCCACACGAAACGACATCTGAACGTCAAAAAGTGGTCCGAACCCCTGGTGTTTTTAACATGTTGACTTCGAAATGTGCTTCGCGCCACAACGGCGTGCACTTTTTCGACATCTCAACTTCCAAAAGTGGTCCGCGCATGGTGTGCTTTGTACATTTTGACTTAGAAATGTGCTTTGCGCCACAACGGTGTGCACTTTTTCGACATCTCAACTTCCAAAAGTGGTCCGAGAATAGTGTGTGTCTTGTGCATTTTGACTTCGAAATGTGCTTCCCGCCACAACTGCGTGCACTTTTTCGACATCTCAACTTCCAAAAGTGGTCCGAGCATGGTGTGTTTTGTACATTTTGACTTCGAAATGTGCTTCGCGCCACAACGGCGTGCACTTTTTCGACATCTCAACTTCCAAAAGTGGTCCGAACATGTGGTGTTTTGTACATTTTGGCTTGGAAAAGTGCTTCGCGCCACAACGCCGTGCAAGTTTTCATCTCTCATCTGGCCAGATGGCTCCGCACCCGCCGCTTTAGCGAGCCTACTTTTCGACCCTCCGGAGCCACAAATCATCGGAAAAACACAGCGTTCCGCATTTTTCCTACCTTTTCGCACATCTGCATCTTCTTCCTTTGACTGTTTCTCTTCTCTGATCTTCTCTCTTCGACTCTTCTCTTCTCTCTGACCCTTCCCATTTCCCATCTCTGCTTTAGTTTGACTTCAAAACTTTTGTCGACTGCAACACATACATTGCCTACATCATCATCATCTACATCACTACATCCTCTACATCACCCACATCACCTACATCTTCTGCACCATCTTCCCTACATCATCATCAGTATCATCATCATCATCGCCACCACCACCATCATCATCATCATCATCATCACCGTCATCAATCTCACCTGCACCATCTACATCACCTACATAATCTTTTTCCATCAACCTCATCTACATGACATACATCATCTACAACGCATACATGACCTACATCATCATCTATATCACTGCATCCTCTACATCACCTACATCTTCAAACCTATCTAACCTTACATCACTTACATCATCTTCATCATCTACAACATAGACAACATCACCTACATCAGCTACAGGTGATCAACTTCTAGGAAACTCCTACAAAACTTGAGAAATGTCATTTACACAGGAGTTGACTTGCAGGTGATCCACTTCTACCTGAACTCTTGCAAGACTCCTGCCTGCAAGGTCATTTGCACAGAAATTGTTACACGGGAGTTGCTACACAGGAGTTCAGCTTCCAGGTGATCAAATTGTATCTGAACTCCTGCAAAATCAGGCTTCTCCAGTTCTTCTATTTTTCCTCTGGCGGCAGGGACAGCCACGCGGTGGCTTACGAAACGTTACCCCCTGCGGCGTGTCGGACACCCAAACGTGTGGCGAAATGCGGGTCTTGTTTGTCCTTGGGCAACCCTTTGCGGAGATCGTGCGTGTCGGAGGGGCAAACATGTGGTGTGGTGAAATGCGAAACTTCTTTGCCCGCAGCAACCGTCTGCGGAGATCGTGCGTTTCGAACGCCCAAGCATGTGGTGAAATGTGAATTTCTTTTGGGCACGGGCACCCTCTGCAGAGATCGCGCAGGTCGGACATCCAAACATGTGGCAAAATGCAAATTTGGTGGGACCCGGCGCAGCCCCTTCGCACGAAATCAGGGCCAACAGTCAAAAACTGGTGTAAAATTGTGATTTTGAAAGTTCATGCAAGCGTGGCATGAAAGTCAAACGGCAAAAAGAGCGGGAAAACTGAGATTTTTTAACATCAGATGCAAACGTTCAAGAATTGGTGTAAAATTACGACTTTATCCATTTTGAAACGTCAGGCACAACCGTTTCGCGCGCAAAAAAACTTGGGAAAAATTGCGATTTTATAAGGTCAGGCGCAACCCTTTCAGGCAAAATGACTGTCCAAGGTCAAAAATTGCGATTTTCCAACGCCGGATGCAACCCTTTCGCACGATATGATGGCCAAATGTCAAAAACTTACGTAAAACCGCGATTTTTTGAAGTGTGTAAAAGCTGCTCTGTGGAATCGGTTTTTCTGTGGGAAAGCGTTTGTGTGTAAAGGCTTCTCTGTGTAAAAGCTTCTGTGCGTAAAAGCCTCCGTGTGTACAAGCTTCTGTGTGTAAAGGCGTCTGTGTGTAAAAGCTCCTGTGCTCAAAAGCTTCTCTGTGAAAAAGCTTCTGTGGAAAAGCTTGTGTGTGTAAAAGCTTCTGTGTGAAAAGGATTCTCTGTGTAAAGGCTTCTCTGTGTCAAAGCTTCTGTGATTCCCTGAAAAACAATCTGTGTCTGAAAGCTTCTGTGTGTATAGGCGTGTATATGTCAAAGCGTATCTGGGTAAATGCTTCTGTGTGGAAAGGCATCTGTGTTCAAAAGCTTCTGTGTGTAGAAGCATGTGCCGCATCTGTGTGAAGAACTCTTGTGTAAATGCCTCTATGTGTAAAGACATGTCTGTGTAAAAGCTTGGGCATTTACGTGTTTAAAGTTTCTGTGCGTATGAGATTGTAGAAGCTGCTCTGTGCAAAGGCCTCTCTCTGTGTAAAAGCTTCGGTGTGTAAAAGCTGTTCTGTGTAAACCCTGCTCTGTGAACAAGCTTCTATGCGTAAAAGGGTCTGTGTGTAAAAGCTCTGTGTGTAAAGGCGTGCGTGTAAAGCTTTTGTGTGTGCGTGTGTGTACAGCTTTTGTGTGTGTAAATGCTTCTGTGTATAAAAGATGCTGTATAGAGGCTTCTCTGTGTAAAAGCTTGTTCTATGAACAAGCTTTTATGCGTAAAAGCGTCTGTGTAAATGCGCCGTGTGTATGTAAAGCTTTTATGCGTGTAAATGCTTCTGTGTATAAAAAGATGCTCTGTTTAGACGCTTCTTTGTGTAAAAGCTTCTCTGTGTAAAGCTTCCGTGTGAAAACCTCTGTGCGTAAAAGCTTCTCTGTGTAAAGGCCTCTCTGCGTCAAAGCTTCGGTGTGTAAAAGCTGCTCCGCGAAACGCTGCTCTGTGAAAACAAACCTGACTGTAAAAGCTGGTCCGCGCAAAGGGTTCTCTGTGTGAAAGCTGCTGTATGTAAAAACCGTTTGTGCTCAAAGTTCCTTCCCGCAAACGCTTGTCTGTGAAAAAGCTTCTCTGTGCAAAATCTTCTCTGTGTAAAAGCTTCTGTGTGTGTGTAAAAGCTGCTCTGTTTAAAGGCTTCTCTGAGTAAAAGCTTCTGCGTGTAAAAGCTTCTGTTTGTAAAGGCATCTCTGTGGAAAAGCTTTCTTGTGAAAAGGCTGTAAAAGTCTCTGTGTCTAAAAGCTTCTCCTTGTAAGGCGTGTGTGTGCAAAAGCTCCTGTGTGTAAAAGCTTGGGCATCTGCGCGTCCTGTGTGTAAAAACTTCTTTGTGAAAAAGCGTCTGTGTGTAAAGCTGCTCTGTGTAAAGGCTTCATGTGGTAAGGCTTCTTTACAAAACGCTTTTCTGCGTAAAAGCTTATATGTAAAAGCGCGTGTGTGCAGAAGCGTCTGCGTAAAAGCTGCTGTGTGTAAATCCCTCTCTGTGTCAAGGCTTCTGTGTGTAGAATCTTCTGTGTGTAATTTTTTCCGCTGTGTAAAAACAACATGTCTTCTGACTGTCGCTCAGGTGCCAGCCCGAGAGCAAACCTTGTGCGGGGACAAAAACAGGCATGAAATTGTGGACATATGACATTTGACTCGCGTCAGCTATCATTCATCATCATCTCCATCGCCATTCATCCTGGTCATCGTCATCGCCATCATCATTGTCGTCATCATCATCATCACCATTAATCTTGTGTATTATCTTCTCGTCTCCTCCCTCCTGCTTTCTTTCATGCCACGCTGTCGTCTAGTGTTTTTATCCACGTGCGAGTGCCGTATCATTTTTTGAAGCAAAACTAGTTCTTCAATATCTCCGTTCCGTTATCTTGCCTGGGCAACTGTTCTTGGACACGTTGCTTGACACTTGTTTATCGGAACCTTGCTTGGGAACCTGTTCTTGGGCGCCTTGCTTGGGAACCTGTTCTTGGGAGCCTATTCTTAGGAACCTGCTCTTGGGAGCATTGCCTGGCAACCTGTTCTTGGGAGCTCTCTCTTGGGAACCTGTTCTTGGAAACTTTGCCTGCCTGCTTCAAACCTGTTCATTGGGACCTTGCTCGGGAACCTGTTTTTCGCAACTTTGCTTGGGAACCTTGTTTAGGAACCTGTCCTTCGGAACCTTGCTTGGGATTCTGTTCTTGCTTCCAACCTTGCTTGCAGATGTTCTTCGAGATTTCGCTTTGCAAGTTGCTCTTGGAAAGCTGTTCCTGGGAACATGAGCAACCTGAAACCATGCTTGGGAACGTGTTCGTGGGAACCGTGCTGGCAACCTATTGCTCGGAACCTTCCTAGAGAATTTGCTCTTGGAACCTGAACCTGTTCTTGGGAACCTGTTCTTGCGAAGCTTGCTTGCAAACCTGTCCTTGGGAACCTTGCTTGGGGACCCGTTCGTGGAAACCTTGCTTGGGAACCTGTTCCCAAGGAGCTTGCTTGGTAACCTTGCTACCCTGCAAGGAAACCTGTTCTTGGAACCCTTGCTTGGGAACTTGAGGCACTGTTCTTGGAACCCTTGCTTGTGAACCTGTTCTTGCGAACCTTGCTTGGGAACCTGGTCTTGCGAACCTTGGTTGGAAACCTGTTAAAAGGAACCTTGCCTGGAAACCCTTGCTTGCGAACCTATTCCTGGAAACTTTTTTTGCAACCTTTTCTTGGAAATCTGTCCCTGGGAACCTTGCTTGGGAACCTGTTCCTGGGAGCCCTTGCTTGGCAACTGTTTCTGGAACCCTTGCTTGGGAACCTTGCCTGGGAACCTGTTCTTGGGAACCATCGTTTGGGGATCGTTCCTGGCAACCTTGCTTGCGAACCTGTTCCTGGAAAATATGACTGGAAATCTTGTTCTTTGGGTGGCTGAAGACCCCAAGCTTATGCTGTTGGGAAAAACGTTCCCAAGCAAGTTCCCGGGAAGAGGCTCCCAAGCAGATATCCAGGAAGAGGTTCCCAAGCAAGGTTAAGTTCTTAGGAGCCGCTTGCAAGTACGGTTCCCAAAAAACGGTTCCCAAGCAAGGTCCCAGGAACCGTTTCCAAGCAAGGTTCCAAGCAGGAACCATGCTCGCAGGAACAGGTTCTCAAGCAAGCGTTCCCAGGAAGAGCTGGTTCATGCTGGTTCCAAAGCATAATTTCCAGGAGCAACTGGGAACCCTTGCTTGCGAACTTCTTCCTGGGAACTTTGCTTGAGAACTTTTTCCTGGAAACATTGCTTGGGAACTTTTTCTGGGAACCTTACTTGTGAACCTGTTCTTGGAAAACTTGTTTGGGAACCTGTTCCTGGGAACCTGTTGCTGGGCACCTTGCTTGGGAACCTCTTCCCGGGAACCTTGCTTGGGAATGCGATTGGGAACCTTATTTGTGAACCTGTTCTTGGGAACCTTGGGAACCTTCTTCCTGAAAACATTGCTTGGGAACCAGCTTGCTGGGAACCTTGCTTGGGCACCTCTTCCTGGAAACCTCTTCCTGGAAACACTTGTTTGAAAACCTGTTCTGGGAACCTTGTTTTGCTTGGAAAAACATGGTCCTGGAAATCTTGCTTGGGAAACGGTTCCTGAAACCTTCAAAACGATTCCCGAAACGCGTGCTTGCAAAACCTGTTCCTGGGAATCCTTGCTTGGGAACCTCTTCCCGGGAACCTTGCTTGGGAACGCGATTGGGAACCTTATTTGTGAACCTGTTCTTGGAACCTTGTACGGGCACCTGTTCCTGGGAACCTGTGGCTGGGAACCTTGCTTGGGAACTTCTTCCTGAAAACATTGCTTGGGAACCAGCTTGCTAGGAACCTTTCTTGGGCACCTCTTCCTGGAAACCTCTTCCTGGAAACACTTGTTTGAAAACCTGTTCTGGGAACCTTGTTTTGCTTGGAAAAACATGGTCCTGGAAATCTTGCTTGGGAAACGGTTCCGGAAACCTTTAAAACGGTTCCCGAAACGCGTGCTTGCAAAACCTGTTCCTGGGAATCCTTGCTTGGGAACCTCTTCCTGAGAACCTTGCTTGGAAGGAGCCCTTGCTTGGGAATCTCTTGCTGGGAACCCTTGCCTGGAAACCTTGCTTGGGAACCTGTTCCTTGGAACCTCTTGGGAACCTTGCCTGGCAACCTCTTCCTGAAAACCTTCCTCTTGGTAACCTCTTCCTGGGAACCCTGCTTGGGACCCTCTTGCTGGGAACCCTTGCTTGGGAATCTGTTCCTGCTAACCTTGCCTGGGAACCTTCCTTATTTAATACCTTGCTGGGAACCTTGCTGGGAACCTCTTCCATGGGAACCTTGCTTGGGAACCTGGGAACCTTGCTTGAAAACCTCTTGCTGGGAACCCTTGCTTGGGAACCTGTTCCTGGGAACCTCTTGGGAACCTTACTTGGGAACCTGTTCCTGGGAACCTTGCTTGGAAACCTTGCTTGGGAACCTCTTCCTGGCAACCTTGCTTGGGAACCTCTTCCTCGCAACCCGGTTCCCAACCTTGCGCCGTGCGGATCTGGCTGCTCCGAGGGATTCTCTTGGAAAAGGAAACTCTTCCTGGGAACCTTCCTGGGAACCCGGTTCCCAGCGGATTTGGCTGCTCCGACCTGCTCCGGAACCTTTACTATGGCTGAAGACCCCAAGCTTACGCTGTTGGGGAACTATTGAATCATTGAATCCCAAGTGACCAATTGATTTACCATGTTTCGGTGATTTTAATTGATTTTGGACTGCATTTACGTGCATTTACATGACTTTATGTGAACCAATTCTCATCGGCTAACATGAGATTTGATTAGATTTGTATTTCTCGTTCACCTAAGCAGTCGCCCTCGCCTGGTTGAGGTAGAGCTTCAAGGTGGCCTTCGGCCCTGCGAGCATCCAAAGACAAATATGGAGTTGTCATGGAGTCTGAAAATGGAGTGTACCCCCAAACTATTTTAATCTATTTTAAGGACAATGATTTTTAAGCGATGGATTTAGGGGTACACGATCGCCACCTCCGCCCCGGACCATCCTTCTAATGCCTGCCTTCACGATGGGCTCTGGCAGGAAGTGACTTAGTGACCAGGTCAGAAGTGAGCTGAGGTGGCTTGGAAGCGTGCCCTGCAGAGCAGGGGAAACAGGCAACAGCCAGTCATAGCCAGTTCATACCAGTCCATTCAAATTAATGTTGACAATGACAAGGGTTCCAAACAATCAGGATACCCTTTAGGAATCAAACATCGTAATGGAAAACCCCAGAGTGCCGAAGGGTAAAACCTCGGAATCTGAGGCCACAAGCCACTTCACAGCCATTGTCCAAGACTTTGAACGCGCCACGGCGCAACGTTTCCCAAACCTTGGTGCAAAGCTGTGTCCAAAGGTTGACAAGGGCCTCAAATCAGGGATAAATCGGGGTTCTATGGGGTTCTATTGGACCCATTACCCTCTGGTAAACTAACATAGCTATGGAAAATCACAATTTTTAGTGGGAAAATCCACTATTAATGGTCATTTTCAATAGCTACGTTAAATTACCAGAGGGTAACTGGATTTAACTGGACCCCACACTGGCTGACGTGACCGGTTGCAACGATCTGATTCTTTGGCAGGTCGACAAGGCATGCACGAAGGTTCAGTGCACAAAAGTTCCGGAACAAATTTCATGCCTCTTCCCTTCCGTTCTCCATTTCTTCAATTCTCAAGGGATTGAACTCGATATAAATTAATCCCCTCACAGAGGCGCCAAAGACCACGGCACTTTTCATTGCTGTTTTCACATCAAAATGGCTGTATACGGTATAGCTGAGTTGTTCATCCCCAACTGTTAGAAAATCATTGGAACATCATAGGTTTTGACCCATCCCTATGTTAGAAAATCACCAAGCAGATTGATTGCTGTAGGAAATCTGCCCACGCACACTGTCATGGCTTGTTCGCCGCCTTTTTTGGACGTTCAGCCATCGCGGGGTTTTGAAGCAGCCGAACTTCCTGGTCAAGCGGGTGTCAATCTCCCAGGGAATGGTCTGTTTGATCAATTGTTGCATGTGTAAAAGATTCGCCAAAAGTTTGTCTTTTTTCTATATGTATTATATGAATTTATATGATATTATATGTCAATAATCAACATATTTCTGAAGCTATCCAATTGGAACAAAGTTTAAATCCTGGCTATGATAGCAATTAGTGCTTGAATGTTTGAACGGACGCACACAAAAGTACCAGAAGGATCCATAAGGCACGAACTGAATTTCAAAGACATTGCTTTCTTTGCCTTCTCTACTCTACGGATTTGTTTGTTCCAATGCGTCAGTTGAATCTACAAACGGACCAACGTTCTCATGAAGTGGTAGCAAAGTACATTCCAAATATCTCCAAATAGATCGAAATCCAGATGGGTTCAATCTGAAAATACCTATATGGAGGTTTTCAAAAATTATGGATCCCCAAACCATTGGTTTCCCATTGCTCATAACCGTCATAACCAATAAAGAGGATGATTTTGTGCTACTTAAAATCATTTCAGGAAACCTCCATAATCCTCCATATCTATTTGGCCTATACATGCCTATACTAGTATGATCCATCCTGATCCACTGGATCTCTGGCCGGCCTAGGCTCGTCTCCGTTTTTTCAAGGAGGCCGCATCTGCTGCGAATTGCATCGCCGAGGCGACTGGCTTGCCGCCTCGGTTTCTCCAAAATGCTGAGGCCACCTGGTGGCTGAATCTGTAATCTGTGATAAGTACCCTCTGGTAAACTAACATAGCTATGGAAAATCACCATTTTTAATGGGAAAATCCACTATTAATGGCCATTTTCAATAGCTACGTTAAATTACCAGAGGGTAAGTTTGGTAATGGATGGTAATGGCCAAATCTAAATCAATGGTGTTCCACTTCGCAAATCAAAACCATTTCACTCTGTGATGGAACATGATAGAACCATGATCCAAACTCTCAGTAGTGCCATGTGATCTCTGAAAATGCCTCAACTATCCCCAAGGTCTGCAAAGGAATCCCCAAACCCTTGCGGCGCTTGCGGTTCCCAATTGCCTGGCTCCGGCTTTGGTATTGTGCGTGGTGCTGCCTTATCGGGGCTAGGGGCCCCATGATGAGACGAATTCGGGGGGAAGGCAACTCGTATATGATTTCGTCACCAGACACTTTTGTGACTTATAGCCATCCCCAAAAGATGGCTAAACTAAATTTCAGTAGAGATTTACTTTTTTATCCAAAAAAAGAGGGTTTGCGTCATATCACCACAACTGACTTTTGTGTCATCACCTGGTGATGTGTCATCCAAGGAACTGGGCGAGCCACGGCATCCTTGCTGCCTGCCACTGTAGACATGGCTTTTTGTTAGGGATATATCTGAGATATATCCGGGATGCATGGGTTGAGAATGGTTGGGGTATATTGGAAATTATTGGAATATGAAACCTGATGTAAAAGAACAAAGTTCATACCATGGCATACCATGACCGGAAAAGCGCCAAATCGCAGCGACTGACCGGGGGGGGCCCTGCCTCCATTTGAGACGAGATTTCCATTGGACCTTCTCAGTGCCGCCTGGCGCTCCAAAATCTCTTCAAATGTAACGGGTTCCTATGGGATTCCTGACATTTTTGAATGCCCCCATCATCATCCAGCATCCAATTCTAGGAATGTACAGTCAAAAAAAATAAAGTCAACGATCAACAAATAATCTGCGACGATCCACAAAGGTGTCAATTGCTCTTATCCCACCCATGCCAGCCAAGACCAGTTGATCAACCCCCAGTCCAGAAGTATGAAAGACCACTAGCTGGTGGCCAAAATTCTTCCTCGGAAAACTGCGACTGGCTGGTGTCAGTCTAACCACCCCCAATAGACTATAGTCACTACTACATGGCAAAAGATCCCCAATGAAAATACACCGATTTTGGCGATCATCGCCACGGCCTCCTTCTCGGAGGTCACTGAGTTGTGATGCCTCGAGAAGTCTGAAAAGTCACAGGGGAATGTCATCCACTATATCATCCACTAGTTTTCGAAGGGTAAAAGAAGTTAAAACCACCAAGACACCACTAATGTGCTAATAGTATTCGTAGAAAAATCCGGGCGAAGGCCAATCCGCTGGGCGTCCCACTTTGACTTACCCTAGGGATCCTGAGCATAAACTATGTAACACAAATGTGGAAAACAATGGTTCCGTAGGAAAATGATCGGGCATTCCACATCTTTTTGTATGTTTACTAGCGTGGTCGGGGCAGATGACCAAGCAAAAGGAGGGGAGCCGATTGGCCCTTGAGCTTCCCGGCAGCTTTGAGTCATGCCCGTTGGTGGCAGCCTGCAACTTCTCGTGAGTTGCAGAGTTTTTGCACCAAGAATTAGCTTCATGACCTTCATGCAACCTGTATAGCAATGTATAGCAACACGGAAAACCAAGGGCATGGACCAAACAAGCTTCAAGCAATGAAGTGCGTATATGTATATGTATATGTATATATATATATTTATTTATAGGTTTATATATATAATTAATGAGGGGGGAACCTGACAGAAAAATGGTAGGTCGAACTCCCAACATCTTCCTAAAGTCAGGCAACAGAACCCAACCCTGTCCAGGGGCAAGTCGCACCTGACCAGATTTCACCTCAGCACCGGGAAGCCGCTTTGCAGCCCTTGAAGAAACGTGGGCAGGGCAGTTGGCCGGGCCCCTAATATAAATACATTAAAGAAAACAACTCAGCCAAATGATGCCAGATGTGATCCATGTCCATGGATTGTCCATGGCATCATGGTCTTGACCTCGTGACAAGCTCACTGAAAACTCAAAGGTTAAGAATGGTTAAGGCTAAGGCTAGGGATCTGAAAAAGCATCAAACAAAACATGCTGAACATGGGCAGCTAGGTAGTACATTGATCCAACATCTGGGCTTCCCGCTTTCCACAACAATTTCTCGGGATGATGCACATCCGCATCACAACATGTCCACCCTGTGGAAAGAACCTGGGGTCCCCAACTGTAAAGCTCTCCCAGGATACAAAATTGGCACTTGCCAATGCTGGATTAGGAGCACCTGGTGGCAATGCTCACTGGGGTACCACTGATTTTTCGGCCTGTGCCATCAAGCTTGAGCACTCATCCCAAGTGCAAAGGATGGTTGAGACGCACCCTGGTTGATGCCCACCCTGGATTAATAAACCCCGACTATTTTATTGGGGGGCTATATGCCCCAAAGTAATAACTCACTGATAACTATTCCGTTAAATTTGGTGCCAGTGCCTGGTACCCTTCAGTAATCACACGTGGCAATGGAAAATCCACCAAATGGAGGTTTAATGGGAAAATATGGGAAAATCATCTATCAATTCTATCAATGGGGGATTGGATTTTCATTGCCACGTTTGATTACCGGAGGATAAACTTTGCACCAGCCCCACTCAGCTCCCGCACCTCCGGCTGCGACACGCACAGCTGCGTCTGTGCTTCGCCGTGCGGGGTAAGAAGGGGCAACCACAGGCACCTTGGCTTTGAACCCCCCATCCAACGTATGCAGGGGTTAGCCCACAAAAGACAGAAATATTGGACTTGTTTGGAGATGTTTGGAGATGTTTGGAGACTGTCCTTGCTGTGCTTCTTCCTTCACAAAACTCGCTTTACGGGCTGGTGTTTGAGTGAGGGCTTCACCCCTTGTGAAACCAGGCACCTGGCCACAGAGTTTGGTAACTAATCTTTGTCAAAAATAGAAAAACCACTATGTATATATATAGTATATATATATATATTAGCAAAGGTTATTTTTACCACTATATATAGCACCTTTTACCACTACAGTCTACTGTCAAAGCTGCCAGGGCACTTTAGGCTTCTCCGGCCCTGGACGCCGATCCATCGGCACTGTTGGAACAGTGGTCTCTTGCCTCGGCCACCACGTATAAACACACACGCTCAACTACTAAACATGCTAAAACAATGACCAAAGAGCATGGAAAAAATGATGAAATAGTTTTGTTATGTTAATATATGTTAATTATGGTATATTATAAAAACAACTTGACATCATTTCCAACATGTTCCCAACAGCAAATCTGTTGGGTTTCAATCTCTGGGGCCGGGGACTGGTGACACGAAAATGCGCGCCCCGAAAAAAGGGAACAGTCCTGGAACCTTGCTGGAACCTTTCGCTGTTGGGTTGCAAAGCTGGGCTAATTTTCTTTAGCTTGAGTGCAAGTGCTCATAAATCGTTGGCACCTGCATGTCATTGTAGGACTTTGATCCAAGGTGCCAGTTGTCAACCAACGCCCGGCACACACAAAATGGCAAGACCTGCAGGCAGTTGCGAGTCTCCTCAGGGCCTTTTGAAGGTGATTTTAACACAATTTAACTGTGGCAGTATTGAGAACTGCCGTAAATCCAATCATAATCAATATCATATTAATTATTAATTGTTCAATCTGCGAGTAACATCTAGGTCCGTGTGCCCGAATCAGGGTGAAATCATGAAGTGAATAGCAGAGCTACCCGACAATTGTGCGGTGGTGCACATTCAGGATAGTTAAAGAAACTTTCGCACATTTTCGCACATTGTGTACAAATCATTAGGCTGATCGCCCTCGATTCCAACTTGTCCATTCCACAATCCAACGAACACGCGCCTGCCGTGCGACTGAACGCTTGCATCTAGCGCAGAACGGGCCGTGCAGGCAGCCCTTGACCTCATAGGTCGCACAGCATTGATTTTGAAGGTAAAGTTCAACAATTTTCAGAAAGTTCATCGGATCTTAGCATATTTTAAGCGGGTTCAATGGCAGCAGCACCAAGCATCCCCACAGTGACTGGTCGGTGCACCACTTGTGCCGTATAGGCAGTGCCAGTGATGATCTTTTGGCACCTGGGTGGCAATCCCCAGGTCATTTCCCAGTTTGCGACCTGGAAAATCGCCATGTTATTCGAGGTAAATCATACCGTAAGTCATCAAGAAATGAACGATTTTCCATAGCTATCTGGAATTACGGGAGGGTATTTAAAAGCATCCCCAAATATCCTGAATATCAACAACATTCAAGAACGATCCAAAAATATCCAAAAATCATGGGGAGAGCTGAACATTCCAATGTCATGCAGTGCATATCCATTCCCTTAATGCACTCGAACGGGAGGTTCACCAGATTTCACCAGGACCGGGGTATACCGGGGTGAATTGGGGGGTGACCTGAGGACTTGGCTGCACGCATCTGGCAGACTGCATCCTGGCGCCCAACTGCCTGGATTCACTGGATCCACTGGATCATTCAGGCACCATTTCACACCGCCGATGAATCTTGACATATCTTGATATTCTTGACGTCTCAAGATTAAACATTGAAGTCTCAAGATTAAACATGATTATATATATATATAAACATCTTACAAAACATGTTCCAAGCCCACAAAACTGCCGGGAGCCTGGTGTGGGTCACCAAGTTGGTGTCAGGCACCGAGGCAAACTAATTTGAGGCTTGCGCACCAACCATGACACAAGAGGGATGGGTTGAAATTCAAAATACTTGAGGACTGAGGACTTGTTCTTTTACACACTAGACATCACTAGACTATATTGTTCAATCCAACATGCAACTGCCTGCAACCTTCCTGCTCTATTCAGCGTTGCACTAGTGCTGAAGCATCTGAAGCTTGCTGTGTAGTTGCGGAAAGGCTATGCTGAACCACTGTGAAGTTGGGGTTGGTCAAATCTTTTGCTTCCCTTCCTTCCAGCTGGGGAGGTTGGTGGATCTATGGATTTTTTTTCAGGACTGTCCAATCATCCAATCTCTTCGGCCGCCCGGGCAAGGTCCGGCGCCCCTTGAGCCCAATTATCTTCAGAGGTCGCCCGAAAAAATGGAGAAAACCGCGTCATTCCAACAGAGGTCTGACTCGTGCCATTCTCATGAGCTCTGAAACTGTGGGGATATCTATGATATATCCTTCAGTGTTTCCCAACATATCTCAACCATAGCAGGATATGCTTGAAAATCTGGGTGACCTCAGAACTTGCTTTTTCCAACTTTGAGATTTCCCTCTCTGCTGCTGTCTGCTCCAACTTTTGGCACGGATGGCAGCAGCTTGCAAGCACGCCCTCAGGTCAAGATATGGCCACGCAACAATCACACATCGTCTGAAGCTGTCGTGAAAAAACTACAACAGAGCTATAGGTAAAAAAGATGGGATTCACTGGCTGTATCTGACTAAGTTATCCATGACGAGACAGGGACTTGTTCTGACCCGTTGACAGTTATAATCAATTATATAGAGCAATATCAAACTCACAATTCAACAATTTTCAACCCACCACGCTGAAACAGGCACCGACTTGAGCCGAGTCAGACGAGTTGCTGCTGCTTTGCAGTAAGGCAGCCGCAAGCTTCAGCTGGCCGGCGCGAAAGCAAGCGTCAACGACCTGGTTCAAGCAACCGAAGGTATCCGAAGATGACCAATCACAGCTCATGTGGCTCATGCACTTATTATATCTTATTATCACTTATCTATACTTATGCCAGCATTCACCAGCTGAGCGGAGACTTCACCCCCAAATTAGCACCCTTCCAAATCGGCGTTGCTCCGCCTCGGCAAGGCTCACCACATCCACCTCCAGTTGCAGCCTGGGAGCCTGTCAGGGAAGTCCTTGATCTACCCAGAATACCCACATCTTCTGGTTGATATTCAGGCCAGTGTATCAAAATGTATCAAAGATATTAAAGCAATCAGCAGCCGAAACATGACGAAACCAGTGAAATCAGCCACTTTCGAATCAATTTCGAAGCAGCTTAGGCACCTCTTTCTCCATGAATTCCCAGGCTGGTCTCCACTGCCAGGCGCGGCACAACGAATGGATCAAGGCGCCCAGAAAGCTCTCCATGGAAGCCCCTGGCTGGAAGGATTCCTCATCGAACCTCGGCTCTGCAAAACTAGGCCAAAAATGGAGCAAAAAGACATTGGGATGTAATATACTATGTATATATATATACTCTATATCATATATCATATATCTGATACCTTGAAGATATATTGGGATATATGATGATACATGATAAATGAGGAGTGTTCTTTCTTTTTTTTCGAACTTGCGGACTTGGGACGGAATCAGAAGTGTCCATTCTGAAAAAGAAACAGGTTTCATGGTCATGTTGAATAGGAACAAATGCTCAAACATGAGCCAATGTAGAAGTCTAATAATAATTTCGTGGGATTCTGTTTTCACAGGATGCCCAGGCCTCAGCAAGTACGTGGCGTGTTGCCAAGGACAGCAAGCAGCTGCGCAGCTCATGGCAAAATCGTCCAGCTGGGATTGCTGCTTGGCCTGGGGTACCACTGGGCATGACAGTTTGACAACAGGAAATATGACTTCCCAGGCTTCACATCTGGCTGTTGGACTGTGAAGATAACAAAAATGCCAGACAGCTACAATATGCTAAAACATAAATGCGAAGTTTCCGTGTGGCATCGTGCGGCAGGCGGCATTCAATTGGAGAACCCAGTCGAGTGTGGAGGTTAGTTCCTGATTGGAAGAGTGCGCGAATCTGATGACATCCGCTTCTGGCCTCACTGCAAACAAGAAGTGACTCACGCCACTGCCCACTGCTTGCACACGCATTGGCCAAGGCGTTGAACAGCACCTTGGTTACACCGCTCTGGAGGTCAAGCAGCCCAAAAGGATTCGAAAGCGAACGGATCATTTTGCCCACAACGCAGAAATTGTTGGCAGATCTGTCCATACAAAAATATACAAAATACATACATCTTCGTCCCATCTTCGTCCCATACATCTTGCACAGCAGATCATGCCCAAATCATCCAAGATCTGTCCAGGTGCGGTATTGCTCTGCAAGCCCATCAAACCTCAGGGAGGTCGGGGATGTTAGGGCCAATATCGGCATCCGATCACAGGGATATGATATGTATGATATGATGTGATATGATGTGATGTGATGTGATACTTGTATGATGGATGACTGGGTGAGAAAGAAATGGACTAGCAATGGATGGTAGCTGGATGCCACAAAGAACCGAGACGACTGGTGCGGAAGCAACCTGACTGGCCTGCTCCAACCGAGCAACAACTTGCTGTGCGCCATTGCGTAGCCGTCCTGATCAGTGGGAGGTTCAACTTCGCTGGAAACAAGGCCAAACTAAATACACAAAAGAAGTCACCCCCGCGCCTGCAGGCGGACATGGCTGCCACATCAGTTACCTGGGCGGTTGCAATGAAACGTGCATGGCATGAGAGGCACTTTCCTGCCATCAAGGAACCTATGTTCTATTATGGTCACTTCCGACGACAGAAAATATAGAAAATGCAGTCTCCAAGTGGACATGATGGATTCAAGCTTTGGATAGAGCAAACAGCAAAAGATGGAAAGAAACACACACACACACAAAATTTGACCTGGAACCTTGACCAGTGGCCATTTCCAATGGACACATAATCTTGAAGACACAGTTGTCGCGGTTCCATGTTTGATTTCAGAGTGTTGGCGTGTGTTGGCATGTTCATCCTTTCATATTTTAAGCGTGTAAGTAATTGACATAAAGTTCGTCTGACTTTCACGATTCAACTTTCAATTTTCCTGGCCAATCTCAAGCCCAGGCGCAAAGTTTGTCCTGACCCCCACAATCCCCATGCAGCGAAGCCATCCTTTGGCACCAGCGTGAAGATGCGTGAAGGGTTGTGGTGACTGGGATGTTCTTCACTATGGCTGTTCTTCATCTTCTTAAACATGTTTTAAACATGCAACAAAAGATTGGCCAAAACGAGAGGCCTGCAAACTGGGACGCTTGAACACTAAAATTCCCAAAATATGTAGGCAACGGATCGTACAAGATGGTTCCACTTTTGTTATAAAATATATGTCAAGGAACCGAATTTGCTACACGCTTCTTTCCCCGGTGGCCAGGCATCCAAGAGCTGTAATCCAGCGACCTCCATGATCGCAGGCATGGAGCACAGATCCAAAGGACACCACGTCCCTTTGTAGCGTTGGAAGTCTCAGGAGGCTACTGGAGGCCTGCCACGGCCGGCCATGGGCAGATGGGGATGGGTTGAAAGCTATTTTTACCATATTTGGATACCCTCAAGTCCGAGCAGGGACCCTTGAGGAAGATTTTAGACCCCCAAAAAAGGTGCCTGAAATGATTTTCCAAGAGGGGGGCACTGGGGATCAACGAATTGCTTTTAGACCTTTGGCAGCTTGTTTTGGGAAGGTTCTGGAATCAAATCTTCGGAAATCAAGCTTATGATCCTAGAACCCCTTCATTTTGGAGCCTTTCTGTTGTTAAAATTAGGGATCAAAAATTGCATCCAAGCAAAACCCACAATCTCATAAGCTCAATTATCCGCCTGTTTCCTTTGCTCCCATGCTAATCCCCTTTTCCTATTTCAAATCCTCCTAATGAATACAAATAGATCCAGATCGTCATTTTCGGGAAATTTCAGGTTGGCCAATTTGATCTTTAATTAATCGCCCTTAGAAAAACAATTTTAAGGATCAAAATCCCATTTGAGGGGTTCATCTTAATACTAAAAACTGATTGGTTGGGGACTGTTTATTATTCGCGTCCTTGACGAACATTTCATTTTTTGATTAATTAGTACTTAAGGTTTTGACGCAGTTATCAGGGGGAAGCGTCGTAAGACATTTTTTTTGCAATATTTCGAAAAGAGTTAACTATGTTTTCATCTGTTTTAAAAAGAGCTTTCAGGCACCCAACACCTTTCGGTTGATGAATCAAATTGTTTTTTTCATTTTTTTTCAGGGATTTTGCAGAAGTCCATATCTATGGCCCTTGTGAAGACAAATCCACAGAATGAGTTGGGAGATATCACTGCAGAACCTTGTGTAGAACTCAACCGTTTCTGGGTAATAATTCAAATTGGTTTCTTCGTTTTTGTCCAAAGGATTCTGCAGGAATGGCGGGTCTAAAATCATATCTATGGGCCTTGTGAAGACAAATTCACAGAATGATTTGGGAGATATCATTGCAGAACCTTGTGTAGAACTCAACCATTTCCGAGTCCGAGTAATACTTCAAATTGGTTTCTTCATTTTTGTTCAGAAGATTTTGCAGGAATGGCGGGTCTAAAATCATATTTATGGCCCTTGTGAAACAAATCCACAGAATGAGTTGGGAGATATCACTGCGGAACCTTGTGTGGAACTCAACTGTTTCTGAGTAATAATTCAAATTGGTTTCTTCGTTTTTGTCCAAAGGATTTTGCAGGAATGGCGGGTCCAAAATCATATCTATGGGCCTTGTGAAGACAAATCCACAGAATGAGTTGGGAGATATCATTGCAGAACCTTGTGTAGAACTCAACCGTTTCTGAGTAATAATTCAAATTGGTTTCTTCATTTTTTGTCCAGAGGATTTTGCAGGAATGGCGGGTCCAAAATCATATCTATGGGCCTTGTGAAGACAAATCCACAGAATGAGTCGGGAGATATCATTGCAGAACCTTGTGTAGAACTCAACCGTTTCTGAGTAATAATTCAAATTGGTTTCTTCATTTTTGTCCAGAGGATTTTGCAGGAATGGCGGGTCCAAAATCATATCTATGGGCCTTGTGAAGACAAATCCACAGAATGAGTTGGGAGATATCATTGCAGGACCTTGTGTAGAACTCAACCGTTTCCGGATAATAAATCATATTGTTTTTACATTTTGGTTCAGAGGGTTGTACAGGAATGGCAGGTCCAAGTTCACGTCTATGGGCCTGGTGAATATAAAGATAGCAGGATCACTTTGGAACACAGTCTGATGCATCACTTTGGAACACAGCCATTTTCGCATCACTTTGAACACAAAATGAATCAAAATGATACGTATCATCAAAACAATGCCAACCACACAGACATGAGATTTACTGACAGGCACAATACTTTGGAAACCTGGCGCGTTCCAAAGCGAGAACAGGACCAAAAAAAGACATCCTATGACAAATGTAGTCGTTCCACGCCTGCCACGCAACATCAAGGTCGATGTCCAAAAGTGCCACGCCTGCCACGCAACATGAAGGTCGATGTCAACAAGCGCCACGCCTGCCACAGAAAATGAAGGTCGATGTCAAAAAGTGCCACGCCGCCACGCCTGCAACAGAAAATGAAAATCAATGTCAAAAGGTGCCACGCATGCCACACAACATGGACGTCGATGTCACCAAATGCCATGCCTGCCATACAAAATGTACGTTACCAATTTTGACAGTAACAAGTAACAAATGGTTCAATCCTTTAAATTTGTGTTAGAATTTGTGTTCTCCTGTGCCCATCCAGATAATACCAATGCTACTACCTTTTAGGCTTTTAGGGGGGTGGTGGGGGTTAGGGTTCACCAATGTTGAGGCTTCAGGGTGTTAGACTGTTTCGTATTATGTGCCAAACCAGATAATAACAATGGTTCTACCTTTTAGGTTTTTGGGGGGTGGGGAGGGTGTTAGGGCTCACGACTGTTGATGGTTCAGGCTGTTAGAATGTTTCTTCTCATACGGTTCTTATCATGTGCCAAGAAAGAAAATAAGTGATTCTACCTTTTAGGCTTTTGGGGGGTGGGGGGTGGGTTTGGGCTCACGGCTGTTGATGGTTCAGGGTGTTCGAATGTTTCTTCTCATACAGTTTTTTTTTAATCATGTGCCAATCAAGAAAATAAAATGGTTATATACCTTTTAAGCTTTTGGGGGGGTGCGGGGGGGGTTAGGGCTCGGGGAGGTTAGACTGCTTCTTCCAATGTGAGAATCCAAATAATAACGTTCACGTTCCTGTGCACACACAGGCGCAGCAACCTTATCATCTTTCTTGCTGTCCAGCAGACACAGGCACTGCTCATTCATGATCGCTTACCGGTGGGGTGGGGTGGGGTGGGGTGGTAATAACGTTCATGCTCCTGTGCACACACAGGCACAGCAACCTCATCATCTTTCTTGCTGTCCTGCAGACACAGGCACTGCTCTTTCATGATACGCAGGATGCCCGCGAAATCGCAATACCACATAACAAACACGCACTTCCACCCGACGCACACACACACACAAACACATTACCAACATTTACGCTGCGGGTAGATAACCCTTCGCCGAACGTTAAGAGAAAAGCAGGATCAGCACGCTGCACCTTTACGTAACGGTGATGATGTGTACGTAATGGTGATGATGATGATGATGATGATGCTGATGATGCTGATGATGATGCTGATGAAGAAGAAGAAGAAGAAGTAGAAGAAGACGAAGCATGATGATGCTGGTGATCACGGTGAGGAAGATAATGATGATGATGATGATGATGATGATGATGGTGATGATGATGATGGTGATGATGATGATGATGATGATGATGATGATTGTCAAGTTTGCATCCGCAACCTTCTGATTTCACATGTCATTTGACCGCTGCTGTTTCATATCCAGTGGCGGGACGAATTGCCATAGCGGCTGACGACTTGCCGCGCTGTCTCGAAAACAGTGCGGAGCCTTTGCAGGCATTTGGGATTGGTAAGGACTTCGTGGGCCTTGACCGCAATCTTCACATTGGTAGCGGAGCTGCCAATTCTGCTACCGGCTGGCTTCGCTGTTTGCTTGAGCTGGCCCTGAGCAGGCCCTTGCTGGACTTTGACTCCATTGCTGCCTACGGCCCTGTGCAGGCCATTTCTGTTCCTTGTGCTTGGCCTTGTGCTGGCCTAACTGCGCTCTGTGCTACAGGCCCTGTGCAGGCCTCACTGCGTGGTTCCCAGGTCCTGAGCAGGCCTGGAGGTACTTGGACTTTGGCCCTGAGCAGGCCGTACTGCTGCGAGCTGTCCTGGCCCTGTGCTGGCCCTTGGTGCACTTTTTGATCAAGATTGGGCACAGCACTTCGAATTCGACAGCCTGGTGATTGACTCCCTTGCTTGGATCGCTACGATCGCCTCTGCCTTCGACGATGTCAGGTGGAACTGGATCTGCGAGCACAGCTGGCTTGGATGTTACAACCACCAAGGACTCCTACATCCCCTTGTTCAGTGGCGCTCCTTCAGACTATAAGGAGTGGAGAAAGCGATTGACCATCTGATGAAGATGAGGATGGCGAAGAAGGAAGCTGAAGGCTTGCTTTCCGTCATTGGCTCACTGACGGGCACAGCTTGGAGGCTCTTGGAGAACTTCCCCATCGAGGACATTGAGAAGACAGGAGCTTTTGAGAAGATGCTCAAGATCCTCGACAAGGCCTTCGAGTACGACAAGTCTGTTCAGTTGCCAACTGACTTTGACAAGTACTTCACTGGACTCCATCGACGCCCAGGCCAATCGCTGCTTGAGTTCACCACTGAGCACGACCATCTCTACAACAAGCTCTCCGACCACGACGTCACCCTTCCTGGAAAAGTTCAAGGATGGCACTTGCTGAGAAGGGCCGGTTTGACAAGGGAGCAGAGACAGTTGGTCACTGCCCAGGCCCCGACGTTGGAACGCAACAAAGTGCAAGAAGCCATGTTCCTGCTACTTGGACAGGATCACAAGACGGTCGCTGGTGGAGGACAACATCAACATCATCGCGGTTTCCGAGGAAAGGGGCGAGCTTACGCCGCCTACTATGAAGATGCTGACAACGACCCGGATCCCGATGACTGGCCTGATGATGATGGTTGGGAAGAAGGTTACTATGAATGGGATGACACTCAGTCCCATGCCACCTCACCGGTTGATGCGGATGAGACCTTCGAGGACTTTGACACCGATGCTGCCTACTATCAGACCCTGGATGATGTTGACCCAGCTGAGCAGGCGGGGGTCCCCGGTGTCTCCGGGACGTGGCAAAGGCAAGACAAAGAAGGGCAAGGGCAAAGGTGGTTCCAACACCATCCGATACCCTCCCCGGGGCAAGGGGAAAGAGCCCGATCCGAAGGGGCGTGCCAAAGCTTCCAGTGGCCCTCCAACATGCCTACGTTGTGGACAAGTTGGACACATGACCTACAATTGCCCGGTGCCAAAGGGCGGAGCCACGAAGCGCAAAGCAGCCCCGACAGAAAGCACTGTCGACCACTC